ACTCTCTTTTCTAAACTCTCTCTCTCTAAATTGACTCTCTCTCTCTTTTCGTACTCACATGCCTTTACATTCCTTTTGGTGGGAAACTCTTGGACGAAAAGCCCACTCACTCGCTCAGTGAAAATTTCATCACCGCCGTTGACAGTTCAGCCAAAATTCTCTAGCTCCACATTAATTCGCCCAGCAAAATCTCAAAATTATCTAAACTACATTTTGTGTTCACTTTTGATCATTCAAAATCATCGCTTAGCGTTCATTGGCCATTCAAGTGGAAATTCAAGCGCCCAAGCAGGAAAACTCAAGTGGATTTCTTGCTTTTTAACGGTAAAGAAAAGGGCAATTGCCAAAAAATCGAAACACGGCTAAAGTGAAGAAAAAAAATATATAAGAAATTTCTGTATCAGCTAGTCAGCGTTGTTTGCACCGAATGTGAGTGTGTGCGTGTCTGTGTGTACTTTGTGTGCTGTGGGCTTGTGTCTGTGTGTGTCTGTGTGTGTGTACGTGATAAGCGTAGACAGACGCCGTAACAACAAAACTGAGACCCCGAGGTTAGAGAGGCACCATCGTTTTATTGAATTACAAGTAAAACAAAGAGCGCGACTTAGCTGGCGATTAAAGCGTCCTCAAAAAGGGGAAGTGAAAAAAGGGAGACGGGGGCCTTAAAGTGGGCGGTGGCAACCTGATAACCCACAAACCCACTGCCAGCGGGTGGCCAGCAAACAGTACTGAGTGGTGGTTTTGATACTGCTAATTGGTTGGCAAAAATTAATTAAAAATCCTAGATGCAGAAAACCAACAACCGACTTGCAAACTATTTACTCCTGACCACCTAGAAGTATGCAAGCGAAAATTGTTTACACTTCGGTTCGGTTTTTAGTTGGTTTTTGGGTTTACAAACGGCAAACGAAGGTTCCTCTTGGAGATATTCTGCGAGATATCCAGGCCACAGAATACACGAAAATTCTTCTCGTCATAAAATGTCCTAACTTCTCGTACTGTCCCTTTTCTTTAAGGGGCTTAATTTGCTTTTACTTCATGTTAGTTTCAAAACCTATTAAAATATTTCGTATTTCCAATAGTCCCATCATTTAAATGATAGCCCAACCATTAGGAGACGCATAAAATTATAATTAACTCTTCAGTTTCAGTTGAAGAACAAAAGCCTTTTTCTATTTCTTGAATTTAAAGAGACATTAACTTTAGAGCTCTGCTAAAAGCCTCCCAAGTCTTTGACCCCAGACGGAAATAGCTGCCATAATTTGCGTGAGCCAGCTCTGCAATCTAGACTGAAATGGCTGGCATTTTTAATTACCATCGAAAAGACATTAAGCCCTGTTTTATGACAAGCCAACGCACATATCAACACAAAGCGTTCTCGCAGGGAAATGCCAGTGGAAAATGGGTTAAATGTGGCTGCAGGTGCTGCAACTCCGGATGGAGTTTCCTATTTGCCCGTTCTTTAACCCATTCTTCCATTGCAGTTTATATAGAAGCGGTTGACAGAAAGCGCAACTGCTTAAGCTGCCATAAAAAAAGAACTTTAATTTGCCACTGACGTTGATGGATTGTGGTGCAACATTACCGACCCAGGAAAATAACCCTAACCACCCACAAGACGGGGGTTAAGCTGGGCTATAAACTTTTTCCGGCACAGATTTGTGCTGGCTACCAAAAAGTTGCGGGCAAAAACAGTCGAGAGAAGTTCCAAGCCTCCGGAAAAGGGGAACCCGACAGCCGAGACCCTCAACACGTTACTGTGATTATTAATTCAAAAAGTTTTCACACACACACACAATTCCAAGCAAGAAGGCAGAAGTACGGTACTCAGACAACATGGCGTATGAAAATATCCAGCAAACAAGTTTCTCTGACAATCCAACGAAAGGCAACACACAAGTATATCGATGCTAGACTCTTATGAATTATGTAAGAAAAGCCAGAAAGTTAAGGGTTCTGGCCAACTTAATTTGGCAACTAACGAGGCTCGATCTGCTAGATAATTAAATAAGACTTAAAGTTGGCCAAATATGTTTAGCCAAGAAACCGCCGAGTCATTGCTATTTGGGTAGGCTAAATAAACAGAATAAAACAAACAATCGCGAGGCCCATCAATAATAAAATCGATTACTATAAGCTCTAGTTAGTCTGCCTGCCTGCGAGTTAGTATGTCTCTGACGTGCGCTGAACTCTGACATTTCGGGGCCATGCTGAAGAAAATGCCAAATGTCAGACCTGTCTGTGTTGGAAAGTGCAGCTTTTGCCCAGCTTCTGGGCTTCCCAACCGAAGCCAGCTTGGCTGAAATCCACTGAGCTCAGCTGTGTGTGTGGGCCAAAGTGTAAGCCACAGACAGAGCGGCGTCCCTTGCGTATACGTAATCTGCTTAGCCACACCAACTCATTACGAGAGATTATGTCATGAATGGAGGAGGTTGTAGAGGGCTCAACTGATTTTATTACCGAAAAATTTGATTGTTTTGACTTTGTAATGAACTTCGGCAATGTATGTGCATCTCATTGGGTCCAACAAGGACACCCGCAATTGTTCACACGCGACACTTATTTTGCCTGACCCTCAAGAGCTCACCACAAAAGTAGGCTACGAAAAGTTGCACAACCGCCTTGAATATTTTAGTTATGATAAGTGAATCAGCTTTTCGCAGGCCCTCTGGGACCCATTAACGCAATTTTCCCGCACTTAGCTGGGACCACCGAACAAGTAAAAAAAGGTTGCGCCTGCTGATTTGTTTAGGTGTTATTTACATACAACATTTGGTTATTCGGTTGCAAATGTTTCAGATTTGTGTTTGCCGCCCCCAACCCCCTTTTATTGCCCAGGGATGTGTTTTTGTTTGCAAGGGTTGTGCGGGTTGTGAATTGCTTGTATGCCATGTCCTAGATAGCGGCCACTGCCAGTGCAATGAACCAAAAACAATGTTTGGCTTGCCAGTCGGCAGCAGAAAAAACAGCAACAAAGGCGACAGCCAGTTGTCTCCTGGGATGTTAACCAGTCGCTCGCCCATTCATTCAGCCATCCACTCGTCCAGTTGCCTGGACATCCTCTGCCTGATAGCTGTCCCAGTTGATTTGCTCTTTGTGTTTTCCCTTTTTTTTTTTTTTTTTGCAAGTTTTTGCGAAAAGTTTCCCAAGCTGAAGGTAGCTAAATAAAAGGGCTACCAACTTACATTTCGATCGGGAAAGGTGTGCGGAAATGAAAAAAATTCAGTAGTCTACCTTTAAAGGTCTCTTTAAAATGCGGTGTATCTTTTGTTTTAAAGAACTTTTCTGTTTGAAGTTTCTCTTTCTACTTCAATAAATCAACTTTTCAGCATTTTCTATTACAAATATTATTCAAAGTTGTACAATAGGGCATAATATAAAAGCATTAAACCTTATTTATCTTCGTTAAGTAAAAAATCATCATAAATGTATTGAAAAAAAAACTAACCCTCTTTCATCTTACTTACAGACTATATTAGCGACCGAACAGCCTGATAATCGTTGTAGAAACGAAGCCAAAAACAGCGAAAACGGAGGCCCACTGTTCGACTTAATTGTCGACCACTGTCAATATTAGCGCCATCGCAACTGCTGGGTGTGGGCGAATCTGCGCCCCGCCACCGGTAAGACTGTTCCGAGATACCAGCTTTTGCATAACTCATCCAATACACCTCGGCTTTGGCTCTGGCACCCACAAATATCACTTGAATCAAATGCCATACTCTCACATATCTTTGGCCTTGCTACGCTTTCATCAACAAATTGCTTTTCAGTTTTTCAGCTTCCATCAACTGTTTTTTTTTTCTTCATTTTTGTTTTCACACTGAGCTGGTCGCACGAACCTTTTCGCATTAAAACACAAATTGCCCCACAGGCGGTCGGCATTTCTGTGGGTGTGTGTGTGTGTGTGCTTGGGACTTCAACATTATAATATAGGGACTGAAAAGTTTCAAGTGGCTGTAGGCCTGCGGGCCACGATAATAAATACAAAACGCACAACGCCGTTTTTGGCCACAAGTGTTTGACATTGTTGACTTGGCCCAAAACAGCACCAGCACCCTACCCCCGTTTTGAAAACCACCAAAATCTCTTGCCACCGATTGATTTCTGGCGTTTTGCGGCGCACAAAAGATTCTGGAAATATAATAGCTATGCAATTTCCACAATGTCCTTTGGCCATTGTCCTTTAAAGACCTTGGCGCGTGCACCTGTTGCCACCAGCTCGATTTTACCCTCACGCCGTTCGTTTTTATGTCCAGTTCGTGGTACTTATTTTAATTAAAGTTTAGTTTAGTTTAAGACACCTTAATTGCTCTTTCCAATAGAATTTTAGTTTTCACTTAGACCGACTCTCTCTCTCTCTATCTGTCCGCTCTTCAAGCATTTTCATACCTTTAAGCCACACATTCACGACATTTTCCTAAAAGCAAATGCAACTTTTGTAATTTCATGGTCTATTAAACTCATTACTACGACAGTTCTGTAAGTGAAAATATGAAAATATCCAATCGAATATGAGGGGAGTTTGTTAAAATGCAAATTTACTAATCATTAAACCAGCTGACATATGAAATTTGAAATGAGTTTTCCACTCACTTCACTACATTACATAACGACTCTGTGTGTGTAATGTTTTTTACGATTTTTACCATCTTTCACTGTGAAAATGCACATTCGAAGTGACCACATTGCGCATACGCCACCATGCCGGAGTATTGCAACTCAATTAGGGAAAGTTAATAAGACAATTAGAATCAAAGTGAGAACGTTGGCAAAGTTTGCCCCACAGAATCTCATTAGCTTGTTAGAGATATAATCTGGTTAAATAAAGGGACAAACATATCTATTGAATGCCTTTGTTTTATGCTTTAAATTTCTGTATGCCTTAATGTTCAATGTCTATGCACTATAAATATCAGAAAACGCTATATGAATGCCCAAAATTGAAAGCACTTTAGCTAATTAACCGAAAGCCAAGCAAATCAACTGTACTTTGTTTGTGTTTTATGTCTTTTGGCTTGCCGCGGATCGAAGGAGCCGAAAAGCAGCACCCTGAATTTCTCGTCGTTCAAATCAAGCTTCACTTCCAATGTTAATTTCCTGAAGAGAAGGTAAAGACCTTAAAAAAGGAAGTGCCCCTCCTTGGCGGGGGGCCCAGTTGAACGAAACTAATTTGAAATTTCATATGTTCGTCTATTTCTCTCTCTCTGTCTCTTCTCTTCTCTGCTGGTACTTTGTACCGCTCCATTTGATTTTCTCATCCTGACCCACTGCGCTGCACCATTTAATCTGTGTACTTGTCTGACGGTTGGAAAACCACCGAATCAATCAATCAATCAACCAAACACTCGAACACCCGACACTTCTTTATACCACACCACACACACCAAATGAAACTACCAATAGATTCAGCTCGGGAGACTTGTCTTCCGAGGTAGACGATGTCGATCCGAATAGCCTGCCGCCGGCGGCTCGTCCCATCCAGGACCAGCCGACGAAGCCGCCGGTTGCTGGCGGACCGCCGAACATGCCGCCACCGCCGGCTCCCGGCCAACCGGCCGGAGCTGCTCCGGAGCTGTCGTTGAGCTTTGGCGCCGGCAAAGCGCCAGCGACGGCTGCTCCTGCTCCACCACGTGGTGTCAGTGCGCCGACCAGTCCGGCTAAGTCGCGCGAAAGCCTGCTGCAGCGGGTGCAGAGCTTGACCGGCGCTGCCCGTGATCAGGGAGCCTCCATATTGGGTATGCTTGGCAGGCACCTACACTCAGAAAAATGTATCAGTCATTCAGTAACATAACATGACTAGACACGAACATAAAACCGTGCTATACCAACTAAAAAGATTTCATTTCTAAGCAACAAATATTTAATACGCTGTACAAGTATATCTAGTGTTGTTCTTGATATAATTTCTGTTATTTCTTTTTCATTTTATTTGTTAAGCAGTTAATGTTCCTGTTAAATGTTGGTTACATATAAACAATTAGTATCCTTAAGTAACATATCCTTGCTGTAGAGAAACCATCTATAGCGTGTTTCCTAGAACTTCTATCATAACTTAAATTCATTTCATGCTAAATGTTCATAAAAAAATAGCAAAATGCTTTTCCCTCGTTGTATGTAGAGGTACTCTAAAACGTGGACGGAATCTACTTTAAAAATGGTTAAAACGCAAGCTTAAACCTAATTAAATGTTAAAGTCCTTAGAGATAGCCATCTAGATTAATATGTTCAGCCAGCTAAAACCTTTTTCTGAGTGTAGGGACTATTTTAATGGTCTCTGGGCAAGGAATGACCTCTAACCCAAAACAGGAGCTGCGGTCCAGAGCGCCACACAACGGGCTCCGGCTTTCAACAAGGACAAGTACTTCACGCTGCTGGTTTTAGATGACCAGAACACGGACTGGTCCAAATATTTCCGAGGCAGGCGATTGCATGGAGACTTCGACATCCGAGTGGAGCAGGCCGAGTTTAGGGCAAGTACTTTCACATTTCTCACCCGGTAATCGGGGTAATTACTGTTTGTCCACTGCAGGACATTACGGTGGTCTCAAGCGCGGACACCGGACCCGTTGTTACCATGGCCGCCTATCGCAGCGGCACTCGGGTGAGTTATTCAAAGCACTGAGAAAATTATTCATTATGTGTCAGAATTAACATGAATTTTTCACTTTTAAGAAGTCATTGAGTTTCTTTCTTTTATATAAAACTTGTAAGATTTTCAATATTCAGGATATACTCATAACTATCATTAAAAGAAACCTCTTTTATAATAAATTTCTTAGTTTTATTAGAAGACTTTTCTGTAATTGTTTCTCCCAGTTAGCCCACCTGGGTAGTTTGCGCTTAATTAGTGCAATAGCAGTGGCCAACAGTCGTAGATCCAACTTCTCAGCCGGGGATTTGATTGTCCGCTAGTGCTCTGCAGAGTAATAGGACCATTGAAAGCGACTGGCCCAAGGACATGGGTAGATAGTTACGATGAGTTGGATGGTTGGCATGTGGACGTGGGCGTAATCCACCAACCAAGGAGCCCTTAAGAGCTGGCAGTCTATCAGAAGTCTTTGTCCCTTTTTTTCCTTTTCCCTTATTTGCGTAGCTCTGAGCTCGACACTCTGGCGCTCCATTTCCATTTGTTTATTTCAAGTCGTTCTGTTGACTTTACGATGCTGCTGTTTTTGCAATTGCGTGTGTCACTGGCAATAAAAGACACTTGTAGCTGGGTAAAAAATACCTAAACCAATGCCCACAGTGACACACTTGAGTCTGTCAGGAAATTAGACGCCATCTGTAATACAAGTGAAGAGTTTTCGAATGCAAATAAAGTACACTTTATTTAAATCGAGTTGAATGTGCATGAGTTATGGCCAAGTAAGGCTGCTTAAAGCTTAACTGCTGTTGTAAAATAAGTGAAAAACATTCAATTTTCTTTATAATGAGATAATTTTAAATGTGGGTCAAGTGGGTGGCCTTTTTACAAGTTTTCTATAATAGTTTATGATAGTTAAACCTTTAATCCACTAGAAAATCAAATGATTTACATCGTTTTGTTTATGCAAATGGCTCCCAAGAGTATGCTATAAAAATATAAACGCCAGCTCACAAAGTGCCTACTCGATAACAGATGGCGCCAGATAAACATAAATTTTACTAGAGGGGATCTTACAAAGTGATAACTTTATTCTCGGAACTTAAGATAAGATACATGGCTGTACAAACCATAGAAAATCAGTTAAAATACAATCACTTAATTTTATTATTTTTTATGTATTTTTTGTTTTATTTTGTTTATTACAAAACGTATTTCCAGTGTTTGGCATTCTAAAAGCTAGGTAATTTTTCTCATTATCATTCAATCTTCATTTTTTTTTTTTTTTTTGGAATATCACACCAAAACAGGTGGCACGTTCCTTCCGACCGGATTTTGTGCTGATTCGCCAGCCGCCACGCGATGGATCCAGCGATTTTCGGTCCACGATCTTGGGTTTGAAATACGGCGGAGTGCCCAGCATCAATTCGCTGCACTCAATCTACCAGTTTCAGGTGAAATGTGATTGATTTTATAGCGAACTACTGTCCTAACTGATTTATTTCGAATTTGTATTGCCTAGGACAAACCGTGGGTCTTCTCCCATTTGCTGCAATTGCAACGACGCCTCGGGCGCGACGGCTTTCCATTGATCGAACAGACCTTCTTCCCCAATCCACGCGATTTGGTAAGTGTGCACGGTATATAAACATTAAAAGCTAGACACTAATTAAGTAGCTGCTACAGAGCCGGTTACAAGTTCAAAAGCATCAATTAATAAATAACACATTAGGCATAACGTACGTATTAAAGCTCTGGACAGAGAAAAAAATGGTAGCATAACAAGGACAAACGGATGACTTGGATTTGGGGGAAACTAAAATCTGACGGCTTTACGGATTGCTCAGACACTTTCTGTACAGCTGCGTGCGTCGCCAGCGGCATCGTGAAATCACTCCATTGGGCGTCTGCTCTTTGTGCGGCATACAGGCACTGTAGTCCGTCTCGCATTTTCCAAACGGCGACCACTTGCACTCGTCCGCATGAGTTCGGAAACTGTGGCATCGTGCACCAAAGCAGGGAGTTATCTAAAATAGATTCATAAATTTTAAGGCTTTTTGATATACTGATTTCACTTATCGACTTACATTGCAAGTGTTACCCTTGGCATAGGCACCGTTGAAGCCATGTCGCTCTGGGACGGTCATCTTGATGTACTCCTTGTAGTAGCTACATACATTCAGTGTCGGGATTCTGCCCGCCACTATGTAGACCTTTCCGATAGTCAACTTAACCCCGCACATTCCGTCATCTCGAGGCGTGGCCAGGCGATTATCGCGAAGCATTCGCCGAGCCTCGGGAGTTGCCTAAATGATAATATATTTTCAATACTTTCATATCTTGGGTTCATTTGAAAAATTTTAAATCTACTTTAAATTCTGTTTCACGTTTCATGTATCATGCAATATCCACTTTCTTGCTTAGTATTTTTTAACAAAATAACTTTAAAGTGTTTCAATGTAAGAAACAGTTTAGCCAGCTGTGACAGCGACAAGTTTCCGATGGCCGTGCTTACCTTGTAGGTCCTCTTGATTTGAACTTTGTAGGTGGTCTTGCCCGGCTCAATGGTGTCTGATTTGCGGATGACTCGCAGCTGAACAACTGTCAAGGAAGCGTTGGCATTTATTTATTGAATTCTCCGGAGATTCAGCTTCCCCTAAACTCACCGTAGTCTGCCTGGGCGAAGTGCGTCTGTGGGTGGCTGGGCATGCAGCTGCAGGCGTCCACTGGGCGACCGTAAAACGCGAGTACGGCGACCAGGAGGAGTGTCAATAAACCCAAATGCTTTCTAAAATCCATGGCTGTGCTGGTGTGCGAATAGATAAAATGGCTTTGGCTTTATGTCGCCGCCAGTGAGTTCCCAAGATTACTGTAAAGGGAGTGGAAAATGAGGAAAATTGAGATTGCTTTTTACGTTGGTGGCAATGGTTTAGTAGGAGAAAACAACAACAACAACAACAACCACTATAATGGCTTTGGTTTCGCTGAAGGTCACTGAGGATTTAATTATATGTCCGTTTTACTTATGTCATTTGGCTTATCAATGGAGGCCAGACAGCAGACGGCAGCCTTCCATCAATCGACCCATCAATCCACTGCTCAATTATGCATTTAATATATTACACATACGCCCTGTATGTCAGCAATTAATCGCGCCTTCTGTCACAAACACGCACACACGCACAAGCTGGGATCATCAAGAGCATTTATGAGGAAAGCACTTGACTGGCAAAATCCCATCCATCTTTATTCTCTGTAGATTGGATTTGGGCTGAGCCTTCAAACCTCTCAGGCCCTACACTTCTTTCAACAATATATCATTCCAGACTTACGCAAAGACGATACAGCAGTCAATTTAGAATGCATAAATCGCACAAAAGTAGTTCAATTGCCCGGGCATTTCAATTGAAAATTGTTTATGGGAAATTCATAGAAAACTTGAGACGCACAAATCGAAATCCATTACAAAACCGCTGCTATTCACCGCATATATATCGATGCGATACCACACGATAGATATACTCATATGTATATTCAGATGCACAAAACCCGTATATAGTTCATATACATACACATATGCATACTATATATGTTAACGCAAAAATATTGTATAATATCGAGAGTGGAAAAGGCAATGCGGCAATCAGCTGCAGCTCCCGATTCATCGTTGTTGTCGAACTGATCGACGCAGATAGTCAGGTTCCATATAGACAGACCTATGGCCATATGCACGCCGGCCTATCTATCCCGATTTCCCGCTCATCACACCGCTCGCCCCGGTCTATGAAGCTCCAGCAACGCAAGCAACCCAAGCAATGTGGCAATTAAATTGAAATAAAATTGAATTAAAAGCATTTTGCGGAAAAGCCACTAGAAAAACATACGCACCCAGTAAGCGAGGGGGGAGAAATGGGGAAAATGGAATGGGGCAGACGACGACCTGCATGCGTGAATCGTTGGGAGGTTGCGTTGCTATTGATTGAATGCAAGCCAAACAGGCAGGAGTAATGCATCAAACTATTTATTAAGTGGCAGGCCAAGTGGCGGCCAGACAAGCAGACGCTCTGACTAATGGGTTAAACTGGAACACACACTGTCAGAAAATGAGTTTCAAATGGATATCATGCTCTGGAATGCGACTATTAAACGTTTTTCTTGCGAATGATTAATCAGTAAATATATTTGATTGCTTCTTTCATACGCGATTTCTAAAAAGACGACTACTTTTTCTCGTCTTCATTTTATTTTGAAAATGTTTTCCAAATTTGTTTAAGTCTGCTTAATATTTAAGTAAGGGACAAAGAAAATCTCTGACATTTAATCTGTGATGACAGCATGAGCTCATGAGCTTACTCCATAAGTTCCCTTCGAGAAATATTTATAAATAATATTATGCAGGAAAACGGAATCGAACAGCTTAAATTTTAAACTTTTTATTATTTAAGATTTCGTAATTGAATAAGTAGAGAAGTTAAGTAATTAACTGACAATTTTTTGTGAGTGTAATTTGTTTTCATAATTTGTAATTTGATCACTTAACTGATTTATAGGGCAGAGTGGCATTTTGAATAATTACCTTAAACTTCATCACAAACAAATACGCTCTGTTTTATTAAAGTAATTTTACTGAAAAGATTTTTCGCTGAGTGCTAAGAAATTTGCTTAAAACAGAAAAAGAGCTGGAGAAAAAGTCACGGTGTCGTAATGTCATGGGAGAATTTTTCGTAAAAGGAAAGCGCCGCATGTTTGCCTGACTTTTCCTTCCCTGACGCTGTGACACTTTGCCCGGCAATTAACGGCATGGATTTGTTTAACAAACAGCCCGACAAGACAGTACTATCAACAACATTGGGGCTTCAAATAAAAAAAAAAAAACTAGAAAGCAAACAAATAGCCAGCCAAGGAGCAACAAAAAGTGGCACACACACAATCCAAAAACGTCATCGACGTTTAGGAGATAAATCAACTTGAAAGGCAATTGGCAGCAAGAAAAGCGTTTCAGAGGCGTTGAAAATTCGCACGATTTTTTCATTGGGACTCCTTTTCCCCTAACACTTGTATGTTTATATGTCTATTTATTTATATATGCAGCCATGTCTGAATGCACAATTAGCGTGGTCATATATCACGCAGGCATACATAGTTTAAGGCTGCCAACGGACGGCGGAAAATGCAGCAAACAGAGTTTTGGTTCGGATTTTTCTATGTTGTTATTTTTTGTTGTTTTCCGTTCAGTTGGAAATGCTCCCTGTGTTTGTTGACAAGCTTAACACATGTCAATTAAATGTTATATATTATGGCACACGGCGGCCACTCACACAAACTCGAACGTGCCGCATTTTGACGTCACTTCTCGCCTCGTCTAATTGACACACTTGTTGGCCACTTTTGTCTCTCTGCTCCAAAGTTCTTGTGTCGTCACCATCATCGATGTTGACATTTGACACTGGTTTCAATTTCGAGCCGCTGCCATCCAATTATGCGGGCCACAGCTACAGCAACAACAAACAAAAGCTGGCAGCAATTTCGAAAGATATTAACTCAAATATTGGATCGAGTTCAATTGGCATTGATTTTCACTTTGAACTCAGGCCACTTAAGGCATGCCGGTCACAACAAAACGGGCAATATTTAGTGACATGGAATGTTGTTTTTAAAATGAATGTTTGGTATAAGGAAATTGGAACTTAATTAGATTAAAAAGTACTTTAAGGGGCCTGGCATTAAAAGTTTCTGTCATTAAATATTGTTTAAGATCTTGAAAGAGAAAAAGATTAAAATGCTTTTTTGATTTTAATATATTAATTTATAAGAAAAATTGTAAGAGGAACCCTGATGCTATTTTAAATTAAAAATATTAGAAGTGAAAATTGGCAAAGAAAACTGTTTAAGATTTAAGGTTTAGATACCTCACAACAAATTTTGCTGTGGTAACTTCTCCTCTAAAAAACTCAATTTATACACAACTTTATACTTATTTAACATTAACATTATTCTTCGCTTTAAATTCCTATGCTCGAATTACGCTTACTGTTCCATAAAATTTAAATCATGCCCAAAGGCATCAACCATTTGAAATTATGCAAATTTTATGATTAACACTTGCCCAGAGACAGGTAGACGGAAAGCAGAAGCCAGAGAGATTTCCCTGGTGTATTCAACGAGGGATTTACTAAAGGTCAGACATGAAAAAGGCCTTGGCTGGAAAATAAAAATGGGGAAAAGCGTAAAACAAAAAAAAAAGGATTTTCTGGCTTTGAAACTAAAGGCAACTAAAGCGCTTTTTGGTGTGGTTCACCTTTTATTTTTGGGTGGTTTTAAGGCGGGTTTACTACTGCGCCAGAATGGCTCGCTGGCCAAAGCCACATAATTAATGCGATTTTGGTTGCTGTTTTGGTGTTTTGGAAAAAGTGGCAAATCTGAGATGGCCAGAGCTAGTTATCCGTTGAGAGGTTTGGTTTATGAGCACTTAATTGGAGCCATTAATTCGGGCTAATGTCGGTGGTAATGTGTGGCGGAGCCACAATAGAATTGACAGCGAGAGGCACTTCACATTACACAAAAGCCAAATGCATCGGCAAACTCGTAAAAACGTATTTATAGCTTTCGGATATTCCGTCCATATGCTCGTATATTGAACAGCACGTTCTCCAATTTACGATGCTTGCTGGTGTCTAATTGGATCTGGATGGATCGCTTTCACATCTATGGAAAGTGATATACGGTTTTATCTTTACATCCTATATAGTTATAGCAAGCTTAACTTATTAGCTTACTGTTCATAATTGGATCAGTTCCTATCTAATTACTTGATAAGTTCTTGACTTGCAGTTTGTTTTAACTGCTAATACTTATGCAAATTTGCACTTTACTTTGTCACGGGTTAGTAAGCTAACGTTCCACTTTCCGATTCAAGAAAAAGTCAAGTTCTTGTTAAGATAAGATAGGATTGCATTTTTCTAATATAAACTTGCCTCACCTAAAAACCTATCAAAGATCTAATGGAATAGTTTACTTTTTAGACCACCCGTATAGAAATAATGTTTAACTATTGATTATAACATCATTTTATTTATAAAAACTCAGTTCTGACACCTCTTTATTTGGGTGAGAAGAACAAATACATAATCAAATTGGAATGCTGAGTAACCAAACTTCGGATCGAATGTCATTCGTTCTCGTTAACTTTTTTCAGCGGTCATTTACTTTTCGATATTGCTTTTTGTGGCAATTCGTTTAAATTTGTTTGTTATTGCTGATTGACTTTCTAAACAGTTGGGAATGGCTTGGTTATGGGATCAAACTGCGCAGTCTGCTATAGGAATTGCTATTTAATTTTTACCCAGTATTCGTATAATATTACAGCGAGATGATGTCACATTTTGTGGTAAGCAAAACTTATCAGAACCCAAGAGATATCTCTCTGTCTCTTAATTAGACCAAACAAATGTTTGCCTTTGGCATCCGGCAATGTGTAAACCATGAGGTTCAACTTTTCCATCTTTTTTATGCAGTCTCTCTATTTTTGCCAATTTTCATAACGATGCTGGAAAAACTTTCTTTGGCCAGCGGCATTTTTCGTTTGGCTGCCTTTTCCTTTGTCGGCGGCAAACTTTACAACAATGAGAGAAAATTAAAGGAGAAATATCAAAGACACGATCGGCCAATAGGCAATGCCATAATCAGCATGATCAATGCGGCCCAAACAAAGGGGGGGTTGGAGTATGTTTTGATTATTGCCGCAGCTTGATCTCATGACCCTACACTGTTTGCTGTACGAGATTGCCAAATTCCATGGATTTCCAAAGCTTGCCTGAGATTAAGATCCCATAGCTATTGGCATTTACATGCACTCAACTTGACACCTGGCGACATATACATAATTAAGCCTCGGAATCCGTACGATACTCTGTATGAAATACAAACCCGAGGTGATAAGAACCACTGCCTGCTAATGGCTAATTGAATTGCCAGCTGCCGGCGACTGTGAGATGAGATGCAGTGGCTCGCCGTGGTTGACAGCTCTATTCAGGTGTGACGAAACCACGTCTGGCAGACAACTATGCTCGGAATGTTGGAATGTTTATTGCCTTACGCCTCATTAACCCATGCACAAAGTATGCCAGCGATTCTGACATCATTGCGCCGAAAATAAGTCTTACGGCGCTCCTCTCATTTGGCCACTCGATGCATTCGATGATGGGTCGAGGTCTTCACTTTTCGGTCCTCGTCCCCTCATCCCCTTATCCAATTTAAAAACAAACAAAAATTGCAAGTCCCGAAATTCGTCACGTTCTTTGGTTATTCCATTTTAAGCCCGAAATTAAAAAGCGAAACAGTAACGGCACAAATTTCTCAACTTGTGACACAAATTGTCTGGCGGCAAGAAAAATACAAAAAAAAAATTAAATAAACAAACACAAACATTTTTTTGCCCAGGATGCGTAACGAAAATTCAATTAAAAATGCTAATGTGTCGAAGGGGCGCTCCAGCGAGGGTCCTACAAAACTGAAGAGCCGAAGGTCTGGGGCCTGGACTCACATTGCATTGGCAGGGCCATAAAAATATAAATCTTTAATGAGCGAAACCCATAGCTTGGGCATATCGTATAGAAGGCCGCAAAATAAACATATGTATATGTATACTCGTACATATTTTTGCAAATAATATTTGCAAAGTCTGGAATACAATGGAGTCCAGTGTGTGGGCTCTCGCATTTCGTTATCAAATTGCTAAATTTGCATAAAAATCAATAAATGCCTGTTCAAATAACCCAGCTGTGTGGCAGTTCAATTAAATATTAAATCGATTTTCTGTGACAATACACCGAATCGCTTTTCGTCAAGTTGGGTGATTTATTTCAGCATAACAAGCTCAATTCATGACCACCGGGTGACAGATCTTGTTAAAGACATTAATAAGGGTGGAAAAAGGAGCAGAAAAGCAGCAGGGAATCTGACAAATAGCCCACACACACTCACTCGCTGGATGGAAAAGGAAATCATTGTCGATAAATTGCCGCCTGACTTGTGAAATTTACGCAACATTCACTGCCGACTGGCTGGCAGATGATGGTGAAAAGTTATTAATGGAAAGGCATACCAAAGGCTCTTTGTCGCGCCGTCTTAATTGTACAATAATATTTAATTGCAAGATTTGCACAAGAAAATTATTAATGGACACGGGTTAAGCATGGCCAGAATGTGGGAGTGTCGGGATAAACAATTCCGAACCAATGTTTCGGTATCTGTATCATCAACCAACAACCTTATAAGGTGAAATGTCTTTCTGGCTGTCTTTTTTTTTTGGGGATTTAAAAGCATCCGCCAAATATGGCGAATTGAATGATGTGCGAGGGAAAAGTCACAATCATCGGTTATGACAATTTTATTTGTGCGGCTTTGTGGTTTTTATTGGCTGTCGATTGGGTACATATATGCGAAATCTTAGTAGAGCAGACATAATATCGATCGAATTTACATTCTCGGAATTGCTGAAATGGGTAACCTATGCATAAAAGAGATACATATTATTTTCCGATGAATATAAATATGTAAAGTATTTGTATGTGATTTGAAATGAAGAGACAGCCCACTGGAGTAGGGCTAGAAATTGTAATAATGGAATCTGCAAATACATCTTTAAACTTGTAAAAGAATGTGAAGTAATTATTATATGCGCTGGCATTATATATAAACTCACAGTCATAAGAAGCCTATATTTAAGTTTTCAATGCGAATTAACAACGAATCAATCACCACTTACGGATATTGTTTATTTCTGTGTAGCCTACTAACCGGGTTTTCTCTGCCTCGATAAGCTGGTTGCGGTTGAGAAAATTTAAAAGTGCCATATGGCACCGATATTTGCCATTAAAAGGCGAACAATAAATTCAAAACAAAAATTAGCACACTTTAAGAACTGAACTGCATATGCTATATGCTATTGTTATCTGCACAGATAAAAAGGAAAATAAAAGTCAACGTAGCAGTTTGCCCGAACAATTTCCCAGAAAAGCTAAAAGCCAATACAAATACAAGCTCATTTAAATGGCGCACAAATAACGAAGAGTCAACAGTAAAGCCAAAGTCAAATGAAGGAAAAATTATGAATATCCATGCGAAAATCATGTGAGTTGTCGTTGTCAAAAGGAAAACACAATATAAAAGAAAAGAGGGGGAAATGGAATGGAAAAGCACTTGAAATGCATTTCCACGCATTTCCCTGGAGCCGTTTTGGTCCCCTTTGGATTTTCGCTTGTAAATTGTATGGGCTTTATGTGGTAGCAGTCGAAAACATTTAATGTGTTTTCATCATATTTTTAGACATTAAATGGCCAATGCCAAAACACACATGACGTATGCGTAATATGGAAATACCTATGCCTCACGCACACACGAACCTGCTTTACTTTCCTTGACATCCAACAAATTTGTTACTTATACATCACCGATATGGCTGGTCTTTACGATCAGACGACATTGCACAACCCAACGACTTGTATATTTTTTAATGGCTGCACTTTGTTTACAAATTGGCGACATTAAAAACTATTAAGACAAATCGAAAGGCCAGAACAGAACTTGGGTCGTTCCAAAGAGCGAGCGAGAGGCCGATGCATGGGGCAGGCAAATAAAAACAAATTATAAATAAACGCAAATAAATAGAAATGAGCGTTTGTTGGGTTGGAAAACTGTGTCGCTGTGTCAACGTCGCCACATTTCCCAGCGCGCGTTTTAAATAGCCCGAAAAACGCGTCTGTGTCGCGCGTTTTGCATACCTTCCAATTTGAATCTTCTAAATGCCAAACAAACAACTCTAGAACTAAAATAAAGTTTTGTATTTTGGCTTTTCAGTTGCAACTTGTTTGAGGTGAAAATTGCGTTTCAGGCTATTGAACACACAAAAAAGTGAATATAAAATTGAAAATGGAAAATCAATTAAAATCTTTTCTAACTAAAACGGAAAAGCCACAGGCGCGTTATACCATTTTCTCCTTTGAGCTGAGCTCTTTTGGAGCTTCAAGCATCTAGAAAATGCTGATTGTTTTTCTGACTGGTAGTCGTAAGTCTAAAATCCCAAAAAAAGCGGAAAAATCAATGAATTTTCTGCTTCAGGCTGCTAAAATTTAAATGAATTCAAATAAGAATCTAAATATTTTATTCCGGCTTTTTAACATTTAACCCAACACTTTACAATCCGGAAATTAATGGAATTAATTACCATGCCAAAATGAAGTCTTCTTAAACCGAAATAAAGACAAAATAGGACCATGGCTTACCTTTAAGCTGCAACCTATTTTGTGTAGTTAACTTGCACTTCTGGCTTTTGAACACTTGAACCCAAATGGCATGAAAATGGGGGAAAAACGGTTGAATGTATTTTCACCGGCACTCGACGCGCACTCGACTCGACTTGACTGCACTTGATACTATTGATATTTTTTCCGATTCCGATCTCGCGATTTCTCCGTCGCCAACTTTGTGGCGTTCTAGCTCGCTGCGCTTGCGGTTCTGCACTGGATCAGTCAACCGATTCGTCTGTTTTCTTAACCGAAGAGCACAAACCCGAATGCCCAGTCTTTAGAGATCTCACTCAAGTGGTTCGGGAAGTGAGAGATCGATCGGCGCTGAGTCTATATAACTTGAGTGTTTCTCGCGGCAGTCGGCCGATCAAAAGCGCCATAAATTCCCCGTAAATGAGTGGAAAGTGAGTGGTGGAGAGTCGATTGCATTTTTCCATTGCATATATATTTTTTTTTACCTTGGCAGCTTTATTAATTGCTTGCAGGGGCTTAGTTTATGCTCTCGGCCATAGTCAGCATACAATATAGTCGTAGATACTTGGCGCCATGGTGGAAGAAAAAGAGATCAAGAGCCACACGAAACCGCAGAAAATAGCGCATCTGTCAGGCCGCAAATCAACTAATAATTTAGCCATGTAAAGTTGTAAACTCGCCAGCGGTCCGACTTCCACTTCCTATTGGCCATGTGGCGGACACACGTGCTGCTGCCCCGGTCATGCTTCATAACATACTTCATGCTCCACCTACAGCACGTTGCCATAATCTGCATACTGCCGACTACCCGCTAACGCCACCGCTTTCGAGATCCACACGGGAAGAAATAGTTAAAATAGTTTATTGTAGCTTAAAAATGTAAACAGTAAAAACATATTTCTTTATCAGTTTTACAATTTTTCAGCTCCTTAAAACTGTAATATTTAGAAGGATTGTAAAGTTGACTTTACCTTGATATCATTACATAAGACTTACCTATATAAACAGTCTTGCTAGGCCTAACAATACTAATAGTTGCAGATGATTTATTTCTTCTGGTGCACTCGTATATCTTTCACTCAAACAAACACCACCTCCTCTCGATGAACCCGCTTGAGGGCACTTCGGATGCGTCACAGTGCATATTTTAAGTTTGCTGATATAACCGAAGAGCAGGCCCCTAGACAGTGGGCACTCGAGCGGAATACGTAGCAGCTTCCAAGAATGCCGGCTATGTGGGGGTGTGACGTCTCATTCTCGGTCCAGAGTCGACTATAATGTCCATAACCGAACCCACATCCACATCGCACGATATGTAGATATATCCATTGAGAGATTTCTCGCACTCTGTTGTTTGGGCTTTTCTGTCAGCGCGCCTGTCTCTTATCGTCGGCAATTGCGACAATTCCTCGGGCTGCGTCACTGTTGTTATGGTTTTCCTTTCATTTTTTCTTTTTATTTTCATTTATTCACCCTCTGCCAATACACAAAAAAAGAAGAACAATTAAGCCCATGTGTTTGCTTGTGATTTATCAACTGTTTAAATACGGCTCTCTACGAGAGATGATTAACAAGGGTAATCGACGTTCGATTTGCATATATAAATTTAATAGCCATGAGCAATACTGTAAAATTAATAAAAATGCGAATTAGTTACAAATATTTGAGGGCAGGGCTTTGTGGATTTTACATATTTAATAACGATTTGCATACGCCATTAATAAAAACAGCGAGGTATTCTTCATAAATACTCTGGCTGACTAATGATCGAGGATTCTTGGAAATCGGCAGGCAAATCAAAGAAAATTTCCATGGTCAGATTCGTAATCGGAACTCGAGCAAAAGCATCCGATGAATTTGGCACTTATCCAATGAATTAATAAGCATTCGCCGCCCTCTTTATTTCCGCAGAAAATAAAATGTCTAGAGCAAAGATCTTGAGTGCCATCAACGGCGTATTGTAATTTATAGAATCCCAATCAGACAGCAAAATACGGATTGTGATTGCCTCGGTATCTTTTTCATTCACACAGAAAAAAAGGATCTTACGATTCTTGTTTAATATACAAAATATCTCAATCTGTATTCATTTTTGTATAATTTATGTCCACCGTTAAAACAACGTCTATTATGGCTTTCCCAGAAATCAGAATAACAAGACTATTTATAAGTTATAAAAAACTAAAGAACCGAACGTCTGTTGCAAAGATAGATATATATTTGATTGGGAAAAGTTATTAGCCAAAATAAAGTATCTTTTCCGAGAAATAGAAATTCAAAAATTTCGAAAAATATTAAAATTTGGAAGCGAGAGAGAAAAACCTTTAAAATTGCGATACTAATTTTAATTACAGTTCTAAAATCAAATTTAATGGTTTGAAAATGGTTAAGAATTAAATATTTTTTACTAAACGAAGCATTTTTCTCTGTGCACTTGCAGTTCCAATTCACCAAGTTCCCCAGCGTGCTGAAGGCTGGACATTGCCACGGCGGCGTGGCCACCGCTCGGCTGGAGAACCAGAGCGCCCTGCAAGATGCCGCCGGTTTGGTAAGCGGTGCCGGGAACGATTCGCATTGTTATTGTACCATCGAGCCCTATATCGATGCCAAGTTCAGCGTGCACATCCAGAAGATTGGCAACAACTACAAGGCGTTTATGTAAGTGACCGCAAGCGGCAAACAGCCAAAACCGCAGACGGCTGAAACTGAAAGCCGCAATGCCAGAAGGAAGGGTCGAGTGGCCTGACCTTGCAACTGTCAGCAGACAAAAGCCGTCGTTTTGCAATTGGCAATTATCCTACCAAGTGCAGCGGCAAGAGTTCATTGTTTGCCTGTTGAAATGGCGGTGAATAAGTTCAAAGATCTTTTGATTCGCCCCTCCAAACGCATTATCTACGCTTTTTTCGCCCCTTAATTTACTGTGTTTTAACCGCTTTCGCTCTTTAACAGGCGCAAATCCATCACCGGCAATTGGAAGACCAATCAGGGCTCCGCCATGCTGGAGCAAATCACTTTAACCGAGAAGTACAAAAGCTGGGTGGATGAGGTAAGTCATGGAGTTAAAAAAAACCATTGGACACTAAATGAAAAAGTCACCTAGCCGACTTTTATGTTCACTTAGAATCTGAGTTTGGGGAGGACTTCCTGTTTAATCAATAACCTTTTTACCCCTTTAAATAATATTAACTTTCACCCTTAAAAACGTGAAAAAATTAGCATATGTAAAATCTATTAAATGCAACCAAACAAGCACCATTTAAGGGTATATTTTTTGGCAGTATCTTAAGCCAACTCCTTTACATGGTCCGGCACATATTACCGTTATTGCCTCGAATTCTGAGCCAAGTCATGGTAACGAAATCTGGTCACAAGCTGTTGTTCAGCTTAGCTTAGGCCAGTTGAGTTCGGCTCACATTTATCAAATTTGGCCAATCAATATGGCTAAGGAAAATCGCTTTAAATTATTTGCGGCATTTTGGGTGCACAAATTTGATTTCTGCAGCTTTCCGATTTTCCCTGAGGGGGTGGCAAAAGGAGAACCCACTTAGACCCGTTACCAGAAATCATATTCGTCTGACGTCAGACGACGTCAGACGACGGCCGAGTTTGCTGAGTTTGCTATGCCCTCGAGCGGCAGCTGCGGCGACGGCGGCGGCACAACTTTAATTAGAGCTCATGAATATGCAAAATCACAAAACAGTTAAACGGATTTAGCCTCCAATGAGCTGTGAGGTAACGGGAGTTTATATTCAAACAATTTTTGTGTAGACGACCGACTCATAATTGCCAGATGAGGTGCAACATGGGAAACCCATCAGATTTGGCATTTTATCAATGCGACTGCTCAAGTCGATTTCCTTTGAGCGGCGACTGACTCACCCAGTCCCACTGCATATGTGCATTAATTAATTGCGTTTATTTACTGGCGCAAATATTCCTCATTCCAGTGCCCATTCATTAGATAAGGCGGCAGCAGTTTTCAGTTACATTCAGAGAAAAGTGTTCTGAAACAATAATTAACTGGAAACTGATGGTATTGACATTGATATATGCTGCAGCTCATCTTCTTTTTTAAATGATTAATTTCTGAGAAAGATCTTAGATCTTTGTGTGTTATTATGTACTTGGATAGCTTACAAAGTAAAGATGACTTTCAATAGATTTATTGACAATTTATAAAGAAAATTTAGTTAAATGGCTACGCAAGTTCAGATATCTTTAAATATAATAAAAAATATTAAAGAAATATTGACTCGAACTACTTTCTAACTGTACGGCAGAGTGGGTGGGCCGTCGACGACGTCATCGACATTCTAGGCAAGTCGGAATCAGCATCAGCATTAGCTCTAGCGTTAGCTTTAATCAAAACAAACTGTGTAATTAAAACCGGCACTGGAAATCCGGCGCAAGCCCACACACAAATGTTTGAGCCGATTCCCGTCTGACTGCGCTTGCAATCGAAAACACATTTTAGGGTCATGATGACTCAATCGCAATGCTAATCTCTGCTGGTATCACTTCCAGATATCGGAACTCTTTGGCGGCATGGAAGTGTGCGGTCTCTCCGTGGTGGTAGCCAAAGATGGACGCGAGTACATTATTAGCGCCTGCGACAGCACATTCGCCCTGATCGGAGACACCCAAGAAGAGGATCGCAGGCAAATCGCTGATTTGGTATCGGGACGTATGCAGGTTGGTATATTGGTTGGATCTTGGGTTTCACTTTATTAAAGATACATTCCTTAAGTTTTTTTGTTTGTTAATTATTCAAAAATATTTCCTCATTACAAATATAGAACTATTAATAGATTTATTATTCATTAAACAGAAAATAAAGCTATAAGGAAATGCAAATTAAGCTGACGATTGTGATAATTACTCGAAGAAACTATTCCTTTATTCAGGCATATAATTTTCCTTATTAAATGCCAATCTATTCAGAAATAAATTACGATCTCCAGGGCTCTAGGTTTGCGGTGAAAGCTACAATTTTCGCAAATTTGTCAGAGGTTGATAGCAAAGTTATAAATTTGAAAAAAATTCATGAGCTTGAGGCCATTAATGAAAGTTATGTTCTGATTTTATTTTCTTAATAACGTAATAACATTTAAGCACTCTCGTAAAGACAAAATCGGTAAATCCATAAAGCAAATAATAAAATTTTTGTTATATAAAATCCCATTTGCTTATTTTCAGAATGTCTGCCGCCCTAGCATGGCGCAGACTGGACCTGGCAAGTTGCCATCCCGTTCATCGGTATCCTCGCGGGCAGAGAGTCCCACGGATGAGGGAATGGCCCCCACACCGCCACTCCCAGCTGGACCAAGGCCGGCACCAATGGGCGGACCACCACCCATTCCGGAACGTACATCACCAGCTGTGGGTTCTATTGGGCGGTTAAGCAGTCGCAGCAGCATTTCGGAGGTGCCAGAGGAGCCCTCTTCTTCGGGTCCCAGTACAGTGGGTGGGGTGCGTCGTGATTCGCAGACGTCACAGTCATCGACCATTTCCTCGTCGGTGTCGCGAGTTGGCCAAAGGCCGCCGCAAACCCAGAGCTCCGTTGTGGAGGACGCCGAGGACACCATGAAGAACCTGAGGAAGACCTTTGCGGGAATATTTGGTGACATGTAGGAAATCGCTAACAAGAAGCGCGGCAGAACGGCCAGCGAGACGAGCAGCGGCAGCGGGCCAGGCAGTGTGCCTAGCAGCGCGGGACCGGGAAGTGGATTCAGTGGCTCCTTCCTCGGCAAGCAGTTCTCGTTCGCCAGCAAGGGGGAGGGCGTGATCTCAACACAGCCCACACAGCGGCCCAGCGAAGAGCCCCCAGCAATCCCGGCGACGGCCAGCTCAGCCGTCCGGCCGGAGAGCAGCGTTTCAGTTAGCGGTACAACAAATACGGATACGGAAAGAGCAGGTGCCGGCTATCAGCCAGTCACCAATTACGAGCAACAGGAAAGGGTCAATCCCTTCGACAAGGAGCCCAACAAGTCGGGCAGTGCGGCGAGCATACACACCTCCTCGTCCTCATCAATGTCATCGTCATCCATCTCGTCACGCATCAATCGCAATGGCAATGCCATCAAATCTCCACCACCACCGGCAGGACCACCACCACCACCGCCCACAAATGTCACAGCGGTAGGCAGTAACGCCAATAGCTCCAGTGGCTACAGGAACAGTTTCAGCAGTTCCCTGAGCAAGGACAAGTCTAGCTATGGCAATTATGGAAGCACTACTTCGGTGGAGACTATCACACGAATGGATACGAATACCACAAATACAGGGGCCACGGCTACGGAAGCTGGTGAGGCTAGTGGCATTACGGCCATAACCAATATCAGTAATAGTGCTGGAATAGTGGCCCCTGCCACAGGAACCATTACCACCTCGGTGACCACCAATGACTGGAGATCGGCCATTGGAATGCGATCGGCTAGTGTTTATAGTGCACCCGCCGCAGTGACCACTGTTCTGCCAGGAGACACATCCGGCTATGATTCCAACTCGATTGCCTCGCAGGGCGAGGGCTTCAACAATCCCAGTGATCTGCCCTCGTACACCAGACCATCGTACTCGCGATCCGAGAGCAATGGTAATTATCTAGCCGTTGGCGTACTGCTAGTCAGCCTAACCCTGCGCAAGACCTAGGGCTCGATCTCAACTCATCTCTATATATACATATATATATATTTTTAAAAATCATGCCATTTAATCTCATTATCGTACTAATTCAGCTACATACTCGTATATATTATATATACAGATATATAAACTCGTATATAGAGACCAACTAAATGTAATCGATTAATCCTTAGCCATGTAGGCAGCCGTGTCAAAGTGTTAGCCAAACGAGAAAAGTAGGAGTTGTGTCCTTTTTAGCCTAACTGTTTTGATTTTCCTAGCCAAGCTCAGTGAGTAAGCCAAATATTACGTATACGACTTGTGGGCCGCCCAAGTGTTTGTAAGTCTCTCTCTCGCTCAGCGATGATAAACCAAAAAACGCTTGCCTGCACACACACTGATACACACACACAGACAAACACACACCTACAGAAGACAAACAACAGGAAACTAACAGTATACACTCGCTAGAGTGCACCGCAAATCTGAGTTCAGTTCTGGCTTCTTGGGCACGCATCGAGAAACAAGAGAAACCCCAAATACAATCCAGAAAAAAACGCAAACAGAAAACCACAAGAGTAATTCAAGCTTTTAGATAATACAAAATTCGTTAGTAATATTAATGCAACCCTTTTTCAGTTTTAGAGTGTGTGTGTGTGCGTATTGCAGTAAATGCAGAGTTATCAAAAGATGAGCCGCAGAAAACTTGTAATAACTACCCAGTTCGAAAGTCGATTAAGAATAAGAAGTATTCGATACTCTCATGGTCATTCATTCATATATTGATAATGCTTGTTTTTGGTAACGCTCATTTTGCTCATCCTCCATCACCAAAAGTCAAGTATTAAATACACAAAAGTTGATCGAAATGTATAGAAATTATTGATTAATAATTGAAAACTGTATTTAAATACTTTCCCACTTCGATCGCCTTTTGTTTATATAGTATTAAAGCTCTATTGGCTCACGTAGTGCTAAAGATAAGTGCTAAGATCTGCACCCACGCCAAATTGTTGTGCACTTCTCGCATATTCCAAGCTGGTGATACTAATATATGTTCTAACTTCTTGCAGCCTCCAAGCACTCGGATCTGGATGTAATTTTCGGAGACAGCAAGACCACCCCGGTATCCTATGGTAATGGCAAATACACTCGGGCTGCAGGATCCCTCTCGGATGCTGATATGATCTTTGGAGGGCCACCATCCAACTACAAAAGCGATCGCTTCGGTGCCGCCAAAAGCATGAGCATGAGTTCCAGTGGAGTTGGTTCCGGAAATGGATCCGGAAGCTATAAGATCTACGAGGGCATCCAGAATGCCGCATTCAGCGACTTTAGCGATACGGGTAGTATGAGCAGCATTGGATCGCATACCAAACGCTGGAGTGCCAGTAAGGAGGAGGATGAGGAACTGGACTTGAAGTGAATCCAAAAGAAATTCCAAAAGTAGTTCTATCACCTACAAACATTCACACACACACACTAAGACAAGCAAACTATGGAATCTATCTATTTTCTGCCTCTGAAGTTTCCTGGTTTCATGGGAAAAAAAGACAAACACTAAGCATATACTCACTTAAATCATAAACTCTTGGTTACTATCGTTTCAACTGTCAACTATCTTGATCGAAACACTTTCCTTTCATTTGCCATCAAACAAAAAGAAAAAGCATAGGAAAATGGCGAACAGCAGAAAATGCTATGTAGACACTGTAGTACACTACTATTATATAATTATAACCACCAATGCAACAACAATAATGCAAAAAAAAAAACCCCATTAGATATGTGCAATGAAATGTCGCCGATGACTTGACTGGTTTTGCAGCATGATAAAAACTGAATGAAATGAAATGAAAATGAGGAACCTATTTAATTAACATACTTAACAAACATTTTGAAAGATTTTCCAAAGCAAGAAATTATATATATTAAATATATTATTGAGAAAAATATTGAATTATATACGAAACATATTAAACCAATTGAGAGTTGATGACATAAAAAGTATTCGCAAGCATATATTACGTGTTAACCTGCTAATGAATCAATGGGAAAAAACTTTTAAATAAATCGAAAATATTAATGAATTTGTTATATACCAACATGAGACACATATGAAATCCTAAATGAAAAAATGAAAAACTATAAAAAATAAAAGACAATATGCGGAAAATGTATAACAAACAACCAAAACGTTTAATACAAATATATACGCGATCTAATTATAATGGATAAAATCGGTTAACGAACTATATGTATTCGGAAAATTACTATGAGCAAATGTTAAATACCAAACACAAATGAAAAGAAAAACACGAGAACAGAAGCTACTCACACACAAAGTAAATGTTTATTACCACAAATATTATGATTATTATTATTATTATTATGTATTAGCAGTTAATGTTTACAAACAAGACAAGATACGGAATGAGATTGAAAGTACCAAGCACGACAAGCAATGTTAATGTAGGCTGAACCAACCGGACAACAATAACGAACCAAACATATTCGAAAATCTAGCGATCCCATGCGATCGCACATAAATTTACATGGCTTAGTCGGTACACGAAGGTCGAGAGGAGATTGAGGCAGATGAATGATGATACTGACGAATATTTAGATAATATACACAACAAAATATTTATAAATGTTGCAAGCGACAACAACGAAGTCATATTATGCATTCGATATTTCTATATATATATAAACAATAGCTTCAATCGGTTAGGACTATGATTTAGCAACAAATGTTTGATGAATGTTTTTTGTTACGCACATGTTTAAGCATTATTTAGAGCAATAGACAATTTTACATATGTTATATTTGAAATAATAGTTACGCGTTCAACTTGAAATCATTTCAATTGGGTTGTATACTTCTCTTCCCCTCTCTATCTCCCTCTCTCCATTTTATCAACTAATTGCATTAGAGAATTTTAAACATTGTTATAGGCAGAGGAATATAACAAAGGAACACACTTGAGAACTTGTTAGTTTACCAACTCTCTTCGATTTTAGTAGAATCTACATTTGGAAAAGCTACAAATATTTTAATCTAAACAAATTTACAAGAATATTGAATAACTATTGTTTTTTGTTTAGGGCCATGAATGCCTGGTTACTTCATTCTATATCATCCTACCATCTATATACAAATATATATATATATATAAATAAATCAAATATGTATGTAATTATAAGTGAATCTTTGGCTACAAGTACTTCTTTCGTAATCGTAAACATCATCATTTTAATCGAACTGGCACATATTCATGGAATGTTTTATAAACATATATTTATAACGACAAAAATGTAGAACAGAAAGTACATAAATAAATACAGGCATCGCTCGAGGAATTCGACAAACATACATATATATCATGGCACTAGAACCACAACCAACTCACTCACCCCATAACAATATCATACATCAAATGATCAGAAAGTGCTGAAATACATAAATTGAAATGGAAATTGAAATTGAAATTCAAACGAAATACTCAAGCATAAGGCATATAACTTACACGACTTCTAATCTGTTGCAAAATATACCAAATAAATACTCGTATTATTGTGAAAGTATAGCAAGAAATATGTACTTATATGTTGTCTGTAATTGATTCAACTCCCCCTTGAGGTCCCAATATCCCAAAAATGCGAACAAAATAAAAACGATTGCAGCCCGGGCTACACCCACTCATTCGGTACTCACAAATTTATTGCAAATCTCTCTATATATATACATATATATACAGATATATATTATTCCAATGAACAGCGGCAACTGCAATGGCTAAGAAAAACAAAACAAAACACAAAAACCAAAGTAACAATAAATGAGTTGATGATTGATACAAAAGCAAAGACAAAAATTGTTTTCCACTCGACGCACAAATTCGCATGCGTTTTACCTGCGGAATTGAGTTAGCATTGACATTAGGGAATCCTTCGGGCGGAAAAACGTCTCCGGCATTTTCAGGCTAATGACACCAGGAAAAACACTCTCGCTCTCAATCCGTTTTTCCAGTGCAACGAGGCCTGCAGCCTAATCTCTTCGCCTACCTGCCAATCCGTAACATCGGGCCATAAAAACCCGGCACTTCCCAGGGCCCAGACTAGTCATCATTCGCGTCACATCCGATACAGACCAAAAGACAATCACGCGATCTTCAAGATGCCACAGTCAGGCGGGAATTACATCACCTTCATCGTCACTCTCTTGGTTTCGATCTGTTTTCTAGATCTTGCTTGGACAGCCAGTTATCAGTTGCAATCTTACGACTTGGATATGGATAATGGGGGATGTATCAAATTCTAGCGAGGCGGAGTACAATGGTGGGATAACTTCCCTGGAAAGACCGCTTTCTTGGCTAAGGAATGCCAACAGTATGTTTGGTGGTCCTGCTGGTCATGTAGTCATCCAGGTGGCCAAAGAACTACTGCATCGCTCAGCTGGAAACAGTCAAGTGGGTTAAGGAACATAAGGATTGATTTATATATGATTTCTAATTAATTACTTTTAATATAGGTCCTTAGCCTGAACCTCACCAATCTCCTGATCATCATTCTGCTGAAGATCCTAATCTTCTCAGCTGGAATGCTGGGAGCAGGGCACTGGAGTGGCTATGGTTATGGCCATGGTCGGTCAGCTAGTGATAACAACTTTGGTTTAGGCCTAACTTCTGGTGATGACTATTTGATAACTGGATTCCTGGCCGCCCAGGGAGCTGGAAGAGATGAGTGCCTCTATGCAGCGTCCTGTGCCTGCCCCACATCAGCCTACGAATATGCAAAGGCAGGACGTGCTCTGATGGGCGCCATAGAAGTTTTCCAAGGGTAAGTTAATTTTAAAGATATTTTATTTGAATTCCTATTAAAAACTTAACTAAGATTATCCTTGAATAACCTATTACTTAATAATCTTTCTAACTTATTCCCAGGGTTCCGTTGGAGAAGCCGCGCTACGTCGATCTCATAGTTCTGATGGAGCGTGCCGCCTACGATGGCTTTCGAGGAGTGGCATGCAACACCACCCAGACGTGTGACGGATTGCTCTGAAGTTACCAAGTCAAATGACACTATTTATGTATCTATTTAAATTTATATTAAATCATTAGGTTGTAGTACAAACGAGGTGCAGTCAAGTGCTTGGTGTTTCTGCTTGTGGTGTACAGTCTCAAATGGTTCAGCATGGAAATCAGATTATTTGCTAAATAATTTAACTATTCTATGTCTATTATTGTGTCTACTTCGGCTGTATTTGTGTTTTCGTTGAGGACTGCTAGTCTTCAAGATCTTGGTGAGATTAGCGTAGGATATTCCTGTCCACATTCAGTTGCTCCTTGCCACCGGTAATGGCCTTGACAAATTCCGGATAGTGCAACAGGCCGTCGTTGTTGTCATCGGCTATTAGCAAAAACTTGTCAATAGCCTCTGTAAGTGTAAGAGAAATATTATAACTGATGTAATGGTTTCTCTGAGATAAGAATGGAAAACATACCTATAAAGTGTTCCAACTCATCGGTGGCATTCTGAAGGTATTCATCCCGCTCGTTGTTTTTAAAATAGTCATAGTTATGATGCATGGCAGACTGAATCATCTCGAGGCCATCCAAGGCGTTGTTATTGTCATTGTCATGGGCCTAAAAATATAAAACAAGTTAGCAACATTAACTATTTATTAATATAATATTAGAGGCTTACCTTGAACATGTAGAAGATTTTCTCCTCTTCGCTTAAGTCCTCTAGATTGGCCTGGACGCCCATGTCCCTCAAATCGTCATCAATGCGACTGAAATACAGCAATATTTATAAACTTTGAACTTAACTTTTACTGCTCTGCCAACTTACTGCTCCTCATGCGTTAGATGCTGGTCCACTCTCCTCGTTTCGCCCCTTGGATGATGTGGACCCCTCTTAACCGCCAGAGTTCCATCAAAAGTCTGGCTAAAGCTGGCTATGCAGATGATAAAGTTCAGCAAGTTCGATAGGTTGCACATCCTATACATCGTAAAATGAAATTTGCAGGAAATTGTTGTGTGTTGAGTTGAGTTTTGTGTATTTTTTTGCGGGGTGGGTTGGCCAGGCCACAACTGTCAATGGAGCTGTCAAAGCGGTTAGCCACGCGCAGGCGCTGAATTTTAGCTATAAATACTCCCCTCTAACCCGGTCGACGGCTGTCAAAATTTAAACATAGCAACCTTTTTGGCAGTTGTCCCGTTGGTTCAATAACATCAGGCACTATTGGTTGGTAGACCCGAGCACACGAAGCGTTAAATATTTATTTCAAAAAATTTCCCATCAGTTATTTCGAAAAAATGTGCGAACAATTCTGTGATAAATTTGAGACATTCAATCCGGAGATTGAATTTGCCAAGTTTCAAAAACGCAAGCCAGTCGTGAGGACTGCCCAGCTCTATGAGAATCTGCACAAGCGTGAGGATATCAAGTGCCCCTGTGAGTAGAAGGTTTAAATCCCAAAATTACTTTACATTACTTTATTAATTTTTTAAATATTTCCTTTACAGACAGCTTTAAGGGATATGGCGTGGAGACGGACGCCAATACAATGTACCGCACTTGCAACTCGGAATATGGTTACTATGCACCCAATGCCTACACCATCCCAAAGCGTTTTTATCCCTTGCCCCAGAATTTCTCCAATGAAGTCGTGCGCTTCGGCATGTATCGCAATTTCTCATTGAACACGCACATGGATCGCACATTCTACTAGGACTGGGTTTATCCGAAAACCCTTCTACAAATCAAATCAAATCACTCCTAAAACGTTTTAAATTTCTACACACTTTTATGGTTTTCTATTCTATTTAGAATTTAGAATTCTGGTCAACAAGTGCCTGCATCTTTCTCGAACATTTACCTTACAAAGCAACCTTCAAGAAATCTATCAATAACAAATTTCAAAATGTAAAACAAACAAAAAAATAAATAAAAATTTAAGATAGCACCTAAAAGTCAGTTCTCTGATTATTATGTTAATTTAAGTTCTTCTTTTGTAAAAAAAAAAAGAAATAATAAAAAAATTTCCAAGCACATCAAGACCAATGCAATCGTTTAAATTAAGAGTAAACCACCAACTGCTGAGCTTTATCATCAAGTAAATAAAATGAGGTGAGCCCTATTAACATATGAATGATAGCTGGAAAATGTGGAATGCCCTTCCCTAGCGACACAAAGAAACTACTCGATGCATTGCTGTGCGATATCTACGGCAGGCAGGAACAGTTAGCCAAGCGGATGAGACGCTGCTGTAGGGATCCTGTCTTCCAGCGAAGATCCTCCAAAGAGAAGAAAGGACAACTGGCCCAATTGGCCAGCGGAATGGTGGGCAACCGGGAGACCCTGGAGCGTTTGGATGTGCGCAAGCTGATCGATGTGTGTGCCATTCTGAAGGTGGAGATCCTCATGCTTGGCTATCTTCTGGAAAGGGTGCTCATGGCCAGGGATCGCCTGCAAAGGCATCAGGAGGTTCTTTGCGAGTTCGTCACCGCCGTGTTGGTCGTAGAAAGTGGTAAGTTTTTATTTATTTTAATTTAATTTAAGAAAAAACACGTTTTAGATATGGGTTTTAAGCATCTTCAAGCTTTTCCTCATCTTAAAAAAAGCTAAATTTTTGTCAGTGCATGAAATGTCAAAGTGTGTGTGTGTGGGTGGTATGGGTGGCACCACTGCGCAGGCTCCCCACTGACAGCTGGAGGCTCGATTTGCTTCAGCCTGAGCCACCGCCGTCAGTCAAGTGCGGAACTCTCAGCTGTGTGGATCGTGAAGTGCGGAATCGAGACAAAAACCCAAAAAAACTCTACGCTGAACGCTGAAAAAATCCTCGCTAGCGTCACGCACCGTGCATGTATGTGTGTGTTTGTGATTGCATTTATTGAATGAACTTTGTTGTGTTCTGTGGCCGTTCGCCTGTGTGTGTGTGTGTGTGTGTAAGAGAGAGTTGTGGGCAGGTGAAGCCTATGCGTGTGTGGGTGTGCCCCGAAAGGAGGAGGCTGGCTTGATGACGACACAGCGCAGCGCTGAGACTGTCTGACGGGGCACACACACACTCACCACTACAAATACATATAATTTGACTTTGTGTGCGTGAGGGTGCCAGTGTGTGTGGGACCAGCGGTTTGAAATAACAAACGTGGAAGACTGGCCTCCACAAGAATTTTTTGCCTGTCTTATCTATGTTTTTATATCACCCCCGTCTCTTTCTCTCTTCTGCACCCCTCTCTTCTTCTGCTGTGTACATGTGCTTGTGTGTGTTACCCTTGATATTCGTCGACCAAAATACCAACGGTAGCTAGAAAAACAAGAGCCATAAAAATAAGCGCGTGCAAAAGTGGCGTGCCATACCATTACCATCTATTTATTTATTTATTATTTAACTTATGCACAAAAAAGGGAAAGGAAAAACACTTTCTAATTGAATTCCAAGGAATAACAGCAGCGTGCGTAATGGAATAATACAATTTTATCGATCGGGCAAATGCCTAGGAAAATGCAATTAAAAAACTGCACTCGCCTAAAAGCATGCAATCGAAAATTTCATTAAAAACGTAACGCCTATTTTAATGCATTTTCCTGGTTCATTTCCCGGTGGCTCTGCTTATTGGTAATACATATAACAGCACCCCTTGATTTTCACCCTCCCACAAGCTTGTTTTGATGACTGCCACTAACACACACATGAGTTGCCTCTTTTGGCCATGGCTGATATGACCAGCCATTGTTGCTGCCATTGTTGTGCAGTGTACGAGTGTGATTCATGTCACGCTCTCACACTCGTCCAGCGAAAAGGCTCACGAACTGGCTTTGTTTGGCAAAAACAACAGAAACAAAAAATAGTTGATTGTGGATTGCATAACTACAAAGAATGTCCCACAAAAAAAAAGTGTACGGCAGAAGAGTTGAAGGCCGCACGGCTTTAATCCATATATCTGGGCCAAACCATTCAAATCCATTATTCAGCAGTTTAACAACTTTGATGGGTGGCAATCATTTAACAGGGTGAAATTACTATGTAGCAAGTTAATATTACTTCAAAGAAACTTCAGATGCCAAGTCGTAATTAATAGCCACAACAGAGCTACCACAAGTGCGCCAGCTCTCTAAAGCAAATCTCCTTTCTGGCCTTAAAGCTGTTTTCTTAATTAAATGCCACGTGGCTTCAAGCTCTGCTTAACTTGCCTCACAAAATCATGAAAACCTACCAGAACGTAATAGCCACAATCCTTAGTATTAGGCTTATTAGGCCCGTCAGGAACAGCTCGTGCAGAATTATACATTTAAATGCCATGAAATTTTAAAAACGAATTCCGACTCAAAGGTAATTACTTGGCCAGAAAGGGGCAGCCGTTGCAAACGTAACTACGAAAGTGGGTCAAGACAGTGGCCAGTAAGGCGGGGGATCGATGAGTGCACCACAAGTCGTACAATGGCATGGCTACAGTCGGAAAATGTATGAGCTAGTTAATAACCATTTAAAAAATATATTAATATTAATTTGAATTTGTAGTTTATAGTTAGTTTTTTAATAATTTTACAAGTTAAGGTTATATTGAAAACTTTTAAACTGATGGAAATGAAACCCCAATATTTCCTTCAGATATTATTAGAAATTCATAATTCATTTTTCTAGTATATTCGCTTTTATACGCTTCCTATATCACAAATGATACTAATATCCTAACTTATACTTCTTAACCCATAACTATTTTCCGAGTGTAGCATTAAGATAGTGCTTAGTGTCTGCTTTTCCTTCACATTTTTCCCCAAGTCAGCAGTCACCTGGCCAAGCTTTTGGGAACTGGGTCTGCAGTTGCTTAGTTGTCAAGGTTTTCGCCTCTATATTTCTTTTTCAGCTACGACACTGTGTGTGTGAGTTGAACGTTTTTTGAGTTCTTCTGCAAGGCGAAAAAATAGTTTTCAATGACATTTGAGTCACAGGGATTTGTTTGTGTGTGTGTGTGTGTGTGCGCGTTTGTGTGAAAGCCAGTCTACGGTCTTCGCCAAATTATATAACTTCAGCATGCCACAAATACCTATGCAAATAGCTCTATAACCCAATACGTATTTATAGATGTGCATGCTTAAGTGTAAGTGTCTATATGTGTATTCATGTAAATCTTGTGTAAATAATACAATAGGCCACAGCAACAACAACAACAACAACTACTACTACTACTACTACAACAGCAACAACAACAAGTACAACGTAAAGCAAAAATGTAAAACCATAAATAGAGAATCCCCACAACCAAAAAAACAACAACTACTACTACTAACTGCAGCAGCAACAATAAAGAGCCGCTGCGAGCAGTGGCAGAAATCATAGCATACCGTCAGGCGCACGTTAACTTAACATGGGTAACTATGCCAAGCCAGCACCAAATCAGTTAACACCACTCATTCTCTCTATCTCTGTGTTTCTCTATGTGTGTACATAAATATTAATTAATTAATTAATTTACATACTTCTTAAATCGATGTCTTTTACCTTGTGTTTTTTAGCGCGCCTCAAAGCGAAAATAAACGTTTTGCTTTGCCTTCGAACTTTTGCTCGTTTTGAAACAAAGACTTAACTCTCGCTCTCTCTATCTCTCTCTTTCTTTACCTTATTTGTTTAAACAACGTTTATAACCAACCAAATAACAACGAAAAGGTAATTTATGCAAAAGAAGTTCAAAAAGAAAAGCTGCTGCATATATCATAAAATATTCGTTGGGCACACATTCGCTAGAGCGGACCTTGAGTAACAAAATATTAATAAATTAATAAATATTCTAAAACATAATGCTTGAAATCATTGAGTTTTTAAATGAACTTTAAATTATCAAAACAAAGAATAATTTATTTTTATACTTCTTAAACGACAAATAAGGTCCGCTCTGGGGCACACATACAAACACATCGCACATCCACACAGTCGAGGCGTACACATTACTCATGGTAAACGCGCACAATTCTAATTTTGGCGGCCGCTTGTAATTAACATTTGCATTTTCGTAGGGCAAGGGCTTTTTCCCTTTGCTGGCATAAATTTCCATTATTTTCCCATGTCACAGTGTTGGAGGCGTTCGACCCCATTTAACCCATTTATATTTATCCATCCTCGGGCAATGTGCACACTTAATTTGAATATTCCGCTGTTCCATTTTTTTTTGTTTCGCAGATTCTTACTTAGAAAATTTACACTTTTTCGATAATCGCTGTCCTGTGTGAACTTTCACAACCTAAATACCGACATACATTTGTACATCTGTTGCATGTTGGCCAAGTTGTTGCTGTTGTCTTTCCTGGTTTTTCCCACCCATTTCAACAATCATTTTACACTCTGATGACTTCGCTTGTACATGTTTGCCGTGTTTCCTGTTTTGGTTTTTTTTTTTTTTTCTCAATTTCACCAGCACCTCTCCCATTTTGCCATCAAATTGTAATTACTGCGTCGCTGCTTACTTTACACTGACAGAGAGGTTTATTTATGACGCCCACCGCGTTTATTGCGATGCAAAGTGACACGAGCTGCTGCGTGGGCGGTTGGAAAGGCTACAGGATCCTGTAGGACTTTGGACATGTGCACACACGTGTGCCAATTCCAAGGGATTCCAGAAATCTGAGTTGAAGTTAAGGGGATGATAACTCAATCTGCTTATCCGGGATGTCAAAAAAGATATGCCAAGATTTTTGACTGACTTGGCTTTTTATTAATGATTGATAAGTAATTTATCGGCTTCGATTTTCATTTTGAAGGCTGGGTTGTATTTGCTTATTAAAGTGTCTCTCTAAAAAGCATTAAAAACCCATTTTAAACCTGCTAAAAGGATATTCATGTAACAATAAAACATTCTTAAAAACGATTCAAGAAGATTTCTTTACAAAAGTCTTCTCAAAAGAATAAGCTCAGAACAATGTAGCGACTTGTAAATTTAAATACCATCTTGATTGGGTACAAACTCATTTTCTTAAAAGTTTTAAAGTCAAGCCAAGGACCAACTGGGCTGTCACAAGCACAGATCCCTTATCAAAGTTATGTAGCTGCAGAAGCAGATGGAAAAATTGAGGGGAAAATAAAAAAAACTTGCTTGCTTTTGGCAGGACACAATGTTCACTTAACTTTCGAGAGCCTGGCTTATTGAAATTGACAGGCAGTCTTAGTCCGCGTGATGCAAATTGATTGACTTTGCAATATCCAATACACGAACTGGTCCACGTGGCGTATGAGTAATGCTTCTTCTGTTCGAGGTAATTCGGAAATTTAATCAAAGTTAAATGGAGGACAACTCGTGTCGAGATTGCGAAACTGCAACAGCAGAAGCAGCCACAGCAAGTGTTCCCGGGGGAGCCATTATGTAAGCAGCCATCAAAACCAGCATTTACCCATCGCAATTTTCCCACATTTTCCTTTAGTTTTTCCCTCGCTCCCTTTTGCATAATCGCCTGGCCAAGTGCTTTTGTCTGGGACCGCGTGATAAAAGTGAATCGCATCCGCTAAGCCGATAATCATTGGGGTTAAGCATTGCAATAGTTTAATGAACCAGCAAGGATTAAATTTATCATCTAGATGGCCATTAACAGGGGAATTCATTAGGAGCCACACGCCCGAACTGACACTAATGGCTCAGAACGTGCCTGCGCATCTGAGGCTACTATAAAAATCTTATGGCCAACTGCAATGTATATTAGGATTGAGATGAAGAAAGTTTAAGCAGTCACACAGACGCTGTCCAGAGTTGGGAGGTCCCCCTCTTTCGGATTCAGTCCATCCTACTTTTGGGGTCATGCAATCCCGAGGGATAAATGCGGTTTAAGTACACAGCTTTGGCTGCTTTCACACAGCAGCTAAATGGGGACATGGGCATTACATAAAGTAAAGTAAATCTCTTTTGAACTGCTCAAAAGGTGGCCAAAAGGGAAGCTGAATTTAAGTTAAGTCTTAACGCGGAGTACTAAAAATGTTTTCGGGTAGTATTCAGTTATAGCAACACTGAGATAAAATACTGAAACTCTTAACATTTCTTAATTTAGGAAAGTGGGAAAACATTCTGACCTTCCCTGGCTTTTTATGTTAAAGCTTGAAATATCAAAATTACGTTTTTTGTAATATTTATTAAATTACAAAAGTTTAATGAAATAGAAAGTTTATTTCTTTAAATGATTCCCTCTTGTCCTGCTTTATATCTTAATACGTCGACAGTTTTATAATCTTTTATCTCAATAGTTAAAGTTTTCTTAACACAACTTTTTAGTTGCTTTCACAAACATTTTTCTCAAGAAAATATCATTCTTTTAAGGCATATTTTTTATGTTACTGCCATAGCCGTAAAATGTTCACTGTTCTTTCATTTCTTATTCACCTATATAAATAGCTGACGGGACCCATATTCTTTCGGCTCATTAAACCAACTGTCATGCCTTACGAGTCTTTATGGTTGAGCACACAAAAGACATACAAACACATTTTTTAGAAAAACAAACACAACACGCACGTGATGTTGACCAAAGTTTAGTTTTGGTCAAGGACCAAACGCTGAGCCCAAATGTGGGCTAACTATCTCAGCCTTGACAAAAACACTCGTAGATCTTATGTCCTTGGACAGACGCATTTAAAATAATTACACTCACTTGCATACAATAAAGAATTGCTCCTCATTGTCATTTGCACATAAATCTCCCATGGAAAATGCACTTGAAGTGAAGAAAGAAAAAATATGAGACCCCCGTGGGGGCCAGTCCATCGTCTGGCCGTAAAGAATGTTTTTACGTCCGGCGCCTAATTGGTGCGAAGTTAGGAACCCCATTACATAAGAGTCGGCGCAATTACTATTTCATTAGCCTGGGTCGAGGTGGTCTCCTCTTCATGCTGGTCCTTTAGTCTGCGAGAGGCTGCGATGCCTTCGCTCCTCTTTCCAAGATATTCTCCAATTTGCCGAGAGTAAACAAGCCAATGTTTGTTTAGCTTTAACTTTGGCCAACAGCAATTTCTAACTGCCTCTTCATTATACAAATGCCTTTCTCCGAAGGAGTAAACATCTTGGGTTTAACATCCTTACATACGACTATATGTATGTGTCGATTTGCATTAGCATGTAAATAAGCGATGGAAAGGCAAAAGGCAAAAATTCCCAGCAATCATGGCGGCAAATACAGTCTAGTATGGCTAACTGGAACGACCTTTCAAAGATATAAATATAAAATATAAACAATGTGTGTATCTTTGCTTATTGAAGTAAAACTGTAAATGTAATCCTAAAAAGGCCTTTTGATTAAGCGAATTATTTTTGCAAAACATTTTTGGTATCTACTTGGATTCTTCATATTAATGGATTCAGCGCATTCTTGGCTGTCAGCTCTCAACGCAAACAATTACACCAATTTCCGAAAAAATTCTTAAAAACGTAAATTTTATTTCCACACATTTCTCTCTCTTTTATTTTACCACTCAGCACAAGCTTTGTGTTGGAGGATAACTGAGGAAAAACCAGATTTTAGCCTTAAAATTTGACTCACGTTCTGCTCGAACAGCATGCTCTTGATAAGCTGAAAACGTCGAACAGAAGTAAAAAATAAAACGGAAATCAAATTATCAGCCATAAAGTGCGTTTCTATAGCCCACACGAGAGCATTGAAAGCTAAAAAGAAACCACACAAAAAATATTGATTCTTTGGGGCGAAACTTAAGCCTTAGCCAATCTTTATCTTGGTAAAATCGAACGCAATCTGAATTTATGCTGCTATCATAAACCCAGCGCAAGACATCATATTTTTCTTTTTATTAACTTGACCTTTAGGGCTGAGTATGAGGGCGGGGCATGTAGGTCAGGGAATGCCTGTCGGCAGCTGTCTAGAGCCTAGAAGCCGATAAAGTTGAGCCACGAGGATACCGTCCTCATGTCAGAGTGTCAGCATTGCAGGGCTAACTATGTTTTACTTGGAATGCCAGAACACATGTGTATCGCCCACACATCCTCCATCCACAATACACTTGTCAAGTGAGATATATAAATGTCATGGTCAATTTAACACAAAGACACGACACTCTCGTATCCCGTGTGTGCCGCTTTTCTATGGAGTGTTTTGTGTCATTTTGGCTTGGTTTTTTCGCTTTCACTGATGTTTTCACTCGCAAGGATGTGCCACAAATCGCATTTTCCCACAATTGCATGCCCGCATAAAAAGTCGCTCTCAAGTTAGTTCGCCGCTCATCGACATTTCGCCACCATTTGGATCAGAGCACTTGATTGATTAAGTGTCTAAGCTATACAAAAATTTCAATATAAATATATATATATATATCTTTTGTATTCTTTCTTCTTCTCTCTTTTGCGCGCTCTTAAAACGTAAAATTGTGCCAACTACCAACTCTATATTATTATATATACGAATAACCTCTAATATATATGTAAAGTTTGCATACTGCACGGATATTGTAAGTGCTAAGGATCCAGAAGCCAAGAGCCCAATAAATTCTATTTGAATAGACAACTATTAACCTTAACCCAATCAGCCCGCCGACCGAAAGTATGCTATATATGATTTTTGCTTAACTTTTGCAGACGATGCACAGCCTAAAATGCGTTTTAGCCTCTCACCACCGCCACAGAAAGCCATTACCAGTGCCCGCCTAACCTCGCCCACTAAAAACAGCCAAAGCACTACCACCAATTCCACCACCATCCCCGGCAACAACAATAGAAGCCCCAGCAGCACCATCTCCACTATGCTGGCTCGCAATGGCGGAGGCCACGGAACCAGCCCTACCGCCTCCGGATCTGGTCATGGCCCCTCTGCTACCGCCACCGCCCCTTCTGCCTCTGCGGACGATGAAGCCACCTCGGATTACAACCAGTGGCTGCATGCGATGAAACTGGTGGCCCGTCTGCCCGGAGGCACACCACCCGAGTTCCGACGCAAGGTGAGATTCAACCTGGGCTTTATGCTCTGATTTCGCCAGCATAAGGTCACAGGACATGGGGGATGTATTTATTTTATTTATTATTTATCATAACACTTTCTGTTATAAATCAAAAATGCACTTCAATATTTAACATTCTGTAAAGCACTCGAGGTATCAATGTTCTATCTAAATATTAGCAATACCTATAAATAAAAAGTGACTTTCAGTTTCAGAAATAGATAAAAAACGTAGTGCTGATAAATATAATTTAATATTTCGAAAGAAACACAATAAGATAATTCTAAGGATAAGAATTCTTTAAAGAAAACTTCTTTTGTCTAAAGAAATGTATGCATTATTTGTGTGAATAACCCTTTCATTCGGCTAACTACCTTTCACAGTTGTGGCTCTCGCTGGCGGATAAGTACCTTAAGTCGAAGAACGTGGACTGGGCACAGCAGCGGGAGAAGTGCTTCTGCGAGGAGTGGCGCGAGGACGACGAAGAGCTGGGCATCCAAATCGTCAAGGTGAGCTCCAGTCACGGACAGGCTGTCCTCTAGAGAATCATTAATGTTTTACCCTCGTTTAGGATCTGCATCGCACTGGCTCGAATCTGTGCACCGGCCCCGCGGGCTCCATTAACCAGGCCAAGCTTAAGCGCATCCTTCTCGGCTACGCGCGCTACAACCCTGAGGTGGGCTATTGCCAGGTGAGTGCTCCTTGAAGGATCTTTGTCTGCTGCTTGCACTTCAGAAATATAACAAAAGGATTCATACTCTTCCGCTAGGGATTCAACATGCTGGGAGCCCTTATACTGCAGGTTATGGACAAGGAGGAGGAAGAGTCCATGAAGGTCATGATCTATCTGGTGGAGGGCGTACTGCCCACGGGCTACTTCTATGGATCGATGGGTGGCCTACAGGCAGATATGGGCGTCTTCCGGGAGCTTATGCAGACAAGGCTGCCACGTCTGGCAAAGCACCTGCAACGATTGCAGGGACCCGTGGAGAATGCCTTCGAACCACCGCTAACCAATGTCTTCACTATGCAGTGGTTTCTTACTATGTTCTGCACCTGCCTGCCCATGTCCTGCGTCCTGCGCGTCTGGGACCTGGTCCTAATTGAGGGCAGCGACGTCCTTCTTCGAACCGCTCTTGTTCTCTGGAGTTTGCTTGAAGAGTAAGTTATTTTAATATATAAGTTCCAAAGTTTCAAAAGCCTATTGCAATTTCAAGAATTAAATTAAAGATAGTTCTCAGAAAATCAGAAAAAATGTTATAAAAGTTTCATAATCTCATCTTTTCCAATCATATAACAAATTTTAATGATACTAATTAGCGAATCATTTTTAAAGCCGTCTGGTGGACATTACGACTAATTGAGGCATTTTCTTAATTATAATTGAATGCGAAAATGCTATTATATCAATGTGCATCTAGTCTGTGTAGGATGTTCGGGGTGGGCTTGGTGGGTGGTTGGCCAAACAATCGCCGCAGTGCAAGCCGAGAATTTGTGTCAAGGCTGTTGGAATTTTGGCAAGAGTTTTTCTTGGTTGCCAAATGCAATTTAGCAATTCCGCTCGGTTCCTTACCCACCAGGAATTTCATGTTCAGACATTGTGGAACTTTTTATGGTTCTGTGGAAAACAAGTTTACTAAATACAAATAAACTAAAAAAAAAAGCAGCGAACGACATTGAACTATGCTAAATGTAAGCTAGAAATGGGATTTTTTAGAGGGAGGTCAAGGTCGTGAATCGACTTGGGAAATTGAAAGGATAAGCTGTTGAATAACTTTTTGAATAAGGTTTGGGTGATAGCAAAGTTATATTTTTTTATTTGCAATATTCTTTCCTTTCTCTTAAAAGCATTTCTCTAACTTCGAAAGGCTTTTAAAAAGTTTGTTGTGTTTCTGTTGCAAAATCTAATAATATTTTCTGTTTTCCCTCTAAGGCGTGTACTCAGTGTCCGATCGGCTGATGAATTCTATGGCAAGATGGGGTCTTACTCTAGTGAGCTCCTCAATGGTCACCTAGTTGACTCCAATGGACTCATTGAGCGAGTGGTGAAACTAGGTCCCATTGCGGATTTGAGACAACTGAGGGATAAGCACCTCTACAATATTGCCCCACTGCGTCACAAACAGGGATTACAGTGAGTAATACAAATTATAATCAATCACAAGATATAATATCCTGCTTTCATTAAGGCTCTACTACGACGAGGAGGACACCCATTCGGATGAGGAGCGCATAGCGGTGGCCACCGTTTTTGGCTTGAATTGGGGCAGACGTGGATCTGTGGGTCCAGCGGCGGCGGGAAAACAGCAAGTGGAGCAAAAGGATCGCCTCGCTTTGGATATTTCCCTGCTGAAGAAGCAGTATGATCGGTTAAGGGAGCGCCAGAAGCAGGCTCATGTCATCTTAACCACTGCGTGCTCAACAGCAGCCCGACAAGGATCTGGTTCCACGAGCAGCTCCCAAGCGTCCGTGCCAGTGAATCAGTTGCTGCTAGGTCGACCGGCTATTGTGACCAACAAGGGAAAACGAGTTGGTGCTCCGATGGGTGCCATTCCACCCGCTCGAAAGCCATCACTTCCTGCAGTTCTTCATACCAAGCCAGGCACAGAGAAGCAACTGCGAAGGGGAGAGACCCTGCTTTGGAGGGATACCGACCCAAGCCGAAGGCGACGCGATAGCTTAACTTGGAAGGAGATCAAGGCGGATCGGGCAGCCATGATGCGGGAGGGAATCGATGTGAGCTCTGTGAAAACCCAAAAGCTTCGCACACGATTCGGAAAAAGCGATAGCTCATCGTACAGCGAAGATAGCGATGGAGAGCAGGACGCTGGAACAGGAGGAGGTTCCAGCACGGACACCAGCCTCTGTGATGATGATGATCCAAAGTCCATCGAAAAGAGTCCAAAGCACAAGGCAAAGCTGGCACGCAAACTTAAGGAGCAAAAGCAGATGTCCGGCTCTAGGGACACAAGCTTGGAGCGACAAAGGCCTAAATCCTGGGCTCCCAGCAGTCAAGAGATTCCCTTCATGCTAATGGGCACGGATAGTGGTGATGAAAAGGAGTCGGCAGTAAAAGAAGAGGCAGATGATCCAGCTGAGGATAGTGCCACCGAAAGCGGACGTTTTGGTTTTGACAAGGAATTGGATTTGGTTAGCTACAAGCTAGAGCCACTAAAAATTCACAGCGAAACCGAAATTCCAGGCATGACTTCCATAAGTCCCATTCCCACGCCCAAAGAAAAGAGTAAAGCTGAAGAGGATTTGCTGGAAGAGCGAAAGCGTTTCGATGTGAGCGATAATGGAGTGACAAATCAGTATTTCGAGAGGGTAAACAGCGTGGAGCGCCCAAACCGTCTGGAACTATCCTATTCGCTTAACGAAGAAGAAACGGATACTAGTGCAATTTTTATGGAAGAAAGGGAAAAAGTTGAAGGTCACAGTGGTGATAGGGAATATAAATCCATTCCTCCACTCTTCACAAGAGAGGACGATCATAGTGTACAGGTGGCTGGCAAAGTGCCTCAGATTCGGGACGACAACATTCCGGGTGAGAACAAGGACGACTACAAAGAACTCCTGAACATGACGATAGAGGACAATACGGTGTATAAGCCTCCACCTCCCACAGCTAGCAACTTGAGTAATGCCAGCCGAAAGAGAAGAGATCCTCGACGCAAAACACTGACCCGCTCATCCACCATTGAAATCGAGGAACGATATCAGGCACTAGAGCGAAGGATCAGTCAGGATCAACCAGATAGACAGTCCAAGTACATTCCTAGCACTGCTGCTCTAGAGGAGCGCTTCAACACCCTTGAAAAGCAACTAAGTGCCGAGAAGCAGCGCAAGGAACTTCCCGAAATGGAAACTGACTATCCCCCTAAATCTGAGAGAATACCCTCCACCGCTGACCTCGAGACGCGCTTCAATTCCTTGACAAAACAAATGAGTTCCAGTGAATCTAGTTCCAAAGCACCCATTGATCTTAAGGATGAGGAATCTCCAAGTGGCAGCAGTCCCAAGGAGCAAAGAGATAGCGAGAAAACTAGCAAGCTGCATAGTTCCGAAGAGACTCAATCTGATACAAAAGAAACTTCAGAAAAAACAGAAGCCAGCGATTCCAAAGAAAATAAGAGCGATGAAAAGGGAGATGAGCAGCCACGCCTTAAAAAACTTCCATCAACTGCGGAGCTGGAAGATCGGTTTAATGCCTTAGAACGCAAGATGAGCGTGCAGAAAACGAGCCCATCCAAAACTAAAAAGGAACCACCTGATGAGGAAGAAACAAAGGCTGTTGAAGAGCCAGAAGAGTCCGAAAAGGTATCAGAGAACTCAAAAGATAGTCACTCAACCACAGATACAAAGGATCGACGAAAAAGTGATCAGAAAAAGCCTGAAACTAAGGAGGTCCCTAAGTCTCCAACACAAAACCAAGAACAGAAAGATAAGCCCAGAAAAGTTGAGTCACCCAAACGGGAAGAAAAATCAATTAAGGAGAACACCAAATCGTCGGAGGATTCTCCTAAGCCAGTAAGTTCTCCAGCCGAAAAACAAAAAACTAACAAAAATGCGGAAGCCAATAAGAAAACTGATTTGGAAGAGGATGACCTGGTAAAGAATACAGAGAAGGTTGAACCATCTAATAAACCCGACTCCAAAACTAGCGAAACCTCAAAACAAACTGATTCTAAAAAGGAAGAACCTGCTAAGAAAATGGTTTCAGAAAGTAATAAGTCCGATCAGAAAGCATCCTCTGAAGACAAATCATCCACCAAAGAACAAGAACCGGCAAAGACTCCTCGGAAATCTCCGCCCTCCACAGAAGAACTAGAAAAGCGTTTCAATGCCTTAGAAAAGCAGATGAGCACTACCAACTTGGAAACAAGTAAGGAGCCTGATCAAGCAATGCCATCAGCTAAAAATCAAACACCAAAAGAAGAGGAAAAGGCACAAAAGTCTATGAAATGCTTTGATGACAAGATTAAGGAAGTTAATACAGCAATTGCAATAGAGCAGAAGAAAGTTGAAGAGGAAGATCAGGCGGAGAAGAAGCATAAGGGCTTTGGGGAAAGCTGCAAGGCTGTCAACGAGAAGTTGGAAGCCCCCAAAAAGGGGGCTTCCGAAAAACCAGAAGAGAGTCAACAAAAGGGAAAGAATCAGAGAAGAGCTTCGGAACCACCATCTACGGAGGATCTGGAAAAGCGATACGAAACCTTAAAGCGGCGCATGAGTAGCAAGAATCATTTCAGTGAAACTGTTGATGAAGCTCTTGAACGGATCCAACAGGAGGTGATCTCAGAGTCCGTGGAGGAGAAAAAACCTCCACCGTCGACGGAGGATCTGGAAAGTCGATTTGATGCACTGCATGGGGGTGAGAAAAATAAGCCTTCGACTACTCAACCCAAGCATGTAGATGTGGCAATCGAGGCGCACATTCCAGATCCACCTCCGCCGCCTCCACCACCAAAAGATCGCCCTGTCCTGGCTGAACCCGTTCTTCACCAGCAACAGGCTCTCATCGAAGAGCTGCAGAGTAAGATGCGAGGCCAATCACCCGGCGAGGAGAACCTGAAGCCCAGCGAGATAAACCCACAAAGGAGACAGAGGAATCTACTCCAACGACCCACGCCCATGGGCGATGAGACATCGGAAGCACCTGCAAACACGGCTTACTACAGAGCAGCAAACCATGACCAATGGCAACAGCGCATGGTGCGTCGGTTCTCTGATTTACCCTCCCGGGCCGATCTGGAGAACCGATTGCAGTTCCTGGAGAGGCAACTCTACAAGAAGTTCTACAAGCAGCGCTGTGCAAGTGATTCCGAAGTTGCATCGAAGGTCAAACTCCCGCCCGATGAGCAGCCCAGCACCTCCCGTCAAGCCAGGGCATTGGAGGCCGAAGGACAACTGGAACAACGTGTCCTGGCACTTGAAAAACAACTAAGTGAGAACAGTCTCAAGTTGCTGGAAGCGATGAGGGAACGTCAGAGGTCAGCAGTTCAGCAGAGTGATGACACCGGATCCCCCAGGCGCTTGAGCACAGAGACGATCGACGCTACTGGCAAGGAGCTGGTTCGATATACCCAGAACATTGGTGAGCTGGAGGAAGTGGACGCCCACAAACCCATAAACATTAGCATCAACATTAAAATGATGGTCAACAAGGATGGTGAGTCCAAGCAGCCAAAGGGTGAGGCCAAGCCCACGACAGAAGATCTAACACGTCGCCTGGAGCAATTGGAGCAGCAATTGCTAGAGGAACGGGCTAAAAACGGCTCGATCCCATCCGAAAATGAAGGAGCGGAGCTAAAAATTGAAAAACCTGAAGAAAGTGATGCTTGCAAAAAGCAAGAGAAGAACTGTCACAATCAACACGTTAAAAGTGATGAGGCTGAGAAAGTAGAAGTGCCTGTTGAGAAAAAACTTGAACCAGAAGCAGCCAAGGAAACCAAAACTCTTGAAAACGAAGAGAAGGCACAGGCTCGAGCCAAAGAGGTGGTAACAGAAAAATCTGTTAAAGAGGAGAAAACTGTCGTTGACGAAAAACTAGGAGGAAAGGAGGAGGTTCCAGTAAAACCTAAATCTCCAGCTAAAGAAAAGCCAGAAGGTGATTCTAAAAAGAAATCGGTGGCAGCCAAAGTTGACGCTAAAAAGGAACCATCCACCCAAGACAAACCTCTAGAAACCAAGTCCGACAAGTCATCCACTAAAGAACCCAAACCTAAGGAAGCTCCTACTGAAGAAGCAAAAAAGAAAATTGAAAATCTCAAAGCTGAGTCTAAACCAAAGGAAACACCTTCAAGCACCAAATCAGAAAATACGAAATCTGAAACAATCAAATCAAAGGAATCTTCTTCGGACACCCCAAGCAAAGAATCAACCAAAAAACTGCCAGAAAAGAAAGAAACGAGTAAAGACTCCTCTTCCAAAGAACTGCCCGACAAAATGGTGATCAATGCCACCGATCTGGGACCCATGGATCCCAACAGCAAAACAGTGGTACTGCTAATGGACAACGAGCCGAGAGCCTCGAAGGTTAGAAGATTAACTAGAGCTAACACTGAGGAGCTGGAAGATCTTTTTCAGGCCTTAGAGAAACAGCTCAATGATCGCAATCTCATCAAATCCGAAGATGGTCGCCTGATACGCGTAGATAGCAAACCAAGTGCTGAGCAGGTGGAGCAAAGTCAAGCCATTTCTGATCTCACAAAGGAAATCGAAGATTTTACCAGCGCCAAACCAGAGGAGAAGGAGAAGCCCAAGGAGGCAACAAAAGAAGGCAAGACAGAGCCTGAAGAACCCGAGGACTACGACTGGGGACCCAATACTGTAAAACATCACCTGAAACGCAAAACAGTTTACCTGCCCTCCACCAAAGAGCTTGAGTCTCGCTTCCGTTCATTGGAACGTCAAATCAAACTGCTTGAAGATGTAGAAAAAATAGACGTGGAGCAGCGGCTAAATGAAATCGAGCGGAAAATTAAACTACAGTACTCACTGTCACACGAGAAAGACTTAAACAAGTACTTGGAGCTGTGTGAAGGTAAGGGTCTGGATGATGATGAACCACTGCCTGTGGAAACACCTACGAAGGCAGAGGAAACTGTCACAGCCAGAGATCGTTCCCGCAGTCCTGGACGCAAGGTGACAACTAAATCTCCGTATACTTCTCCATCCCGGAAGGCTGCCACTAAATCTCCCTACACCTCACCTTCTCGAAAGGCTACCAAGTCACCCTATACTTCGCCTTCCAGGCAGCAGAGATCACCTTCTCCAGCTCGTTCACCGGAAAGGAAGTCCAAAAAGAGTCCCTACACTTCACCAGCCCGTCGCAAACCACATCCTAACGATCTTCCCATTTCCGATGACCTCGAGTACAAGTATCGGGTTCTGGATTTGGTAAGATCGAAGTCCAAAGAAAACTTGGCCAAGCGAATGAACGACCCGAACAGAAAACCGGCTATTCATCCTCTCGAAATGATTCTGAGCCCCAGTCCAGATGAAGATGCAATACCAACAACCGGGGAACTGGAGCACAGGATACGTGTCCTGGATGAAAAGCTGAAATCGCCAGCCAAGACCCGGCCCAAGTCGCGCTCTCGATCGCCCACCATCGATGACATTAAACGGCAAAAAATGAGGGATGAGCAAAAACCCAGGACACCTGTGCACAATCTAGAAAGAATAGTCAGTTCACCTGGAAGACCAGAACCACCCACTGCCGAACAGCTCGAGGAGCGTATACGGATCCTGGAGCAAGAACATAAGTTTGACTTTAAAACCCAGAAGGACTACAAGGCATTCAATCAAAAGCTCAAGGACGTCATTTCACCCTCGCTCTCCTTCGAGGAATTCCGTGCTGCCAAGTCCCGAGAGCAAAGCCCCCGCCGCCATGGCGCCACTACTCCCAAGTCTGCCCTGCGTCGCGACGATTTCGATGAGGCCTACTCCAGCGGCACCACAACCCACTACCGCCCAACCAGTCCCAAGGTCATACGATTCCGGGACGAAGACGAAGATGATGACCATTTCGAGGAGGCGCCCAGGTCGAAGTCACGACAGACCAGCGATCGAATGGTGGGCAGCACTAATAGCGTTTTGGACTGTATATCGGAGAATACTAAAATTCTTCAACGTATTCTTAAGAAGACTCTTGCAGATCAACCATCGGCCACTCGCAGCTATGCCAGCAGCTCGGAGGGTCTGGACGCCTTGGGTAGTCGTCTTATGAGGGTAAGTGGCAGCTATATTCGTTATAGATCTTGGTAATTCATATCTATTTTACGTTTTAGGAAACCTCCCCGATTACCCGAACCGGAACCCACACGGGCGTACCACTGCGAACGGGGGAGAACATCAACGACCGTCTAAGTTCGATCAAGAACTCCATAAAATCGATAGACACCCTATGCGAGGAGAAGCCCTACCAGAAGGAGAAGTGCCAGCGGTACATCGATTCACTCTTTTCGGACTCACTGCATTTCGCAAGTAAGAAAAGTTCTCTGGAGGATCTCAGTCTAAGCAGGAGTCTAAGTCGCAGTGAGAGCAGGGGAAGAAGCATTCACAGATCCGGAGACTATGCTCCATCGATAAGGATTACCTCCGAGCATCGATCTCTGGGCTCGGCGGAATCTCGCAGGAGTCCGCTGGGCAACCGGGAAACGAGTCCGCTGCACCATCGATCGCACAGGGAGGTGAGCCGGGAGCTGTCACCGCGTCGAAGGCGCTTGGAAGAGGAGGATGAGGAGCGTAAAGATCGGGAGAGCAGTAGGGTAAGACGTGATAACTTGTTGCCAAATTATTTTGCTGATAATCGTAGCGAACTAAGTAGCGGGAGTAGTTTAACCGGGTTTAACCACAAAGTAGATAGACAACTAGAAGAGACGTGCGCCAAATATGCGGACGATCGACGCTCGGCCTGTCGCACACCGTTGAGCCACCCGTTCGAGTCCCGCACCACAGCCACACGCCACAGCCACACAGATCCAGTCCAGATCCAAGCCACCGCAACCGGAACAACCGATAGTTTCCCTCGGCCCGTGTCGCCCTATCGCCAGCCGTATGATCCCTATCATCGTTCCCCCGGTGGTGCCGGCAGCACACCCCTCTATCAGCCCGGCAAGCTTGAGATTCGCCACACCACCGTAACCTCGACCTTCTACGATCGTTTCCTGACCGAAAAGCAAATCGAACGGCAGACCAACTCCCGTCCGCCCAGCCGCTCGCCAGTGGTTTCGCCCTCGGTGCCAGCCAAAAGCTACATGGACTTGTGCAGCACCACTTCAGCCACATCCAGCACCACTGCTTTTAGCACCACCTCTTCATTCATGTCCAGCAGCTATGCAGGACCCTCCTTTTCGCTGCCCTCGAGCAGTAACTATTCCTATTTGAACCCGGGGGGTTCGGGCATCTCCTCCTCCATTTCGCCCAGGGCCAGTTGCTCAGATCTCCGCTCCACAACCACAGCCTCATCCCTTACCACCACCACGACTACCCCATCCACAACCACCTCTTCTTACGTGCCCTATAATTTCAGCAGCTCTTTCACCTCTCGTTTAAGCGAACCCATTACCACTTGCTCTGCTAGCGTAGTGAGTACTAGTTCCCTCACCCATTCCACGGGGGTCTACAATCCCATGATGTCGTTCACGCTGAGGGAACCCCTCGCCAGCAGTTCCCTGGGTGGTTCAAGTGCCTCTCCCTTGCTTCCGTTTCAGTTTAATAGAACTTTCACTTCCAACTTCGACAAGGAGCAGAACAAACAGTAAAGAAGGAGTCACATCAATCGTTAACCGAAGGTTGTCCATAAACATAAAAAGCCCCCCTTAAAAACCTCTTTCCACACCAAAATCGATAAAGTACTCGAAGAAATCAAGCTCAAAACTTATTATACTGAGAGAAAAATCAGTCTAAAATAACTACTAATTTTAAAAAATATTTATTAAACAAAATTAAACTGTTGAAGTTTATTTCTTAGGATTTATTCTAGGAATGGAAGAAATGTTTTTTGGAGATTATATTCTATTAAAAGATACTTAAATGGCCCTTGTGTTTGTTAATACTAAATAATACGTAAATATTCAGCTCTTAATAATTAATTATAAAATCAGACTTAGAAATCAACGTTGAATGTTGCTACTCCCTGTATTACATTATATTTTCATGATTTTAGATCGGTTTTTATCTCAGTAAACTTAACTCTCGCTAAGCAATATAAATATAGTAAATATAATAAACAGTTTTAGGAAAAGGTAAACCCAACAACATATATATATATCTATAAACATATACAAAATCTTGCAAATCGGATATTTACTCTTCAAGCAACTCTTGCACCAAACCATTTTGGCTTCTTGCAACTTACCTCATCTACATTGACAGCACCAGCAACTCAACTGATCATAACTTAGCAAAGATTTTTATACTATATATACATATATACTATATATATATCTACGTATATGCAGAAAGTATAGCTATCGAAAATGTAACCAAATGTGAAGAGGGCAAAATGTTATTCCATCTTTTTTCCGCGTTAACTAAAGTTTAACTCTAAATCCTTTTAGCCAGAACACGCAATTAAACTAAAAACTTTTCCTTAATATTAACTAATCAATTTACACGGTTTACACTAGACAACAACAAATACCCAGATAAATAAAAAAACACACACACACACTTTGAAAAGGTGTAAAACTTTAAGTGCATTTTTGGGCCGAGTTAGTCGAGGACACTAAAACATATTGATTAATCAATCAAATTACGTTAACTGACTGACACGAGCCGTAAAATTAGTTTACCAATACCATTGTTAAATATACACGCAGCCATATGTATAGATATATGTACCTATACCAATTGAACGATATATATTGTATTTGATTACATACCGATTGCAGTTGTTGAATTTCAATTATGCAAAAGACACGATAACGATTATGAATAAGCAAGTAAATGCTAGCCCAAATGCAAATGGCTTTAGGAACTATTATCAATCGCGGCAGAGGAGCCGAAAATTAATCAAAACGATTAGGAAAATTTTATGACAAGTATTTCGATTCGAAATCGGCAAGTTTCCAAGAGATTACCAAAATGCAATTGTTAATTAGGCAAAAGCTAAGATGACAGCTTCAGTTTATATACGCATAAATTTAATCTTAATTATTGTTCTCTTGAATTTCGTTCCCCGATTTTGTTGTGATGATTTTATTGTTATTGAAACAAGTTTGTAAACCATTTTTGTTATTGTTTAAAGTTTCTCTGAGAAAAAAAAAACCACAAACTAACGAATTGGTAAAAAAATATAATAGTAAAAATATTTTTATTACAAATTGTTGAAGAGTTTTAAGTTTTGAAATAAAACGAAAATATTTAAAATCGAACTTGAGTATCTGTGGCATTTCTGAGGGTTAAATATTTCCATTACTCGTGGAGAGACACTGATAAGCTGAGATGATCAGTCCCCTCGCCTTATCAACTGAAATGGGAAAATCTTTCCAGCCTAAAATCAGTCATTGATTGAAATCCGCGTGGCGTGGACGTGCCTTAGTTACTTCTTTAGAACAATGCAACGATTTTTGGGAAGAAACACTCAGTGCCTGCTGCTACGATGTGGTCATCGCTATCTGGCCACCACACCTGTGGAGGAGGTTCTATTCCCCACTAAATCGGATTTTCCTAGCCGTCATATTGGACCTCGCAAAACGGATGTGGTTGCCATGTTGGATACTTTGGGTTACAAGGTACGAAAGTCTGTATTTAATTCCTGATCAAAGGTGTAACATTTTAATGCAAAAAGTATAATTATATTCAGTTCTTATACAATAAAAGATTCTTCTTATATATTATCTTTTGGAAATGGAACTTAATTCCATATGTCGTTCAATTTGTAGTATAATATATATCGTAATACCTTTTAGTCCCTGGCTGAGCTCACTGAAAAAGCTGTACCCCAAAGCATTCAACTGAAGAGGGAACTCGACCTGGACAAACCTCTGAGTAAGTAGCGCTATTTTATAATCCCAAAATAGCTAGAAAAATAGGCGCTAGAGCGATGGACCCCCTGGCGTGTTCTCAGGCGCTGATAAGGCAGTGATAAGCTCGGTTCAGCGGGGTCTCCCTGACTTATCAGTGTTTTGACTGCCTCCGCTTGATCTCCGATTTTTGCCTTCGTCTGGCTGACAACAATTTTCCACTCTGCCCCTTAGACGAACACGAGCTTATCCGCCGAATCCGCGACATCTCCCTGAAGAATCAGCTGTGGCGCTCGTACATCGGAATGGGTTACCATAACTGCCATGTGCCGCACACGATTATCCGGAATATGTTTGAGAATCCGGGTTGGACCACGCAGTATACACCGTACCAACCGGAAATTGCCCAGGGTCGCTTGGAATCGCTTCTGAACTATCAGACTCTAGTATCCGATCTTACCGGCTTGGATGTGGCCAATGCCTCGCTTTTGGATGAGGGAACCGCTGCTGCCGAAGCCATGTGCCTGGCCACTAGGCACAACAAGCGGAAGAAACTATATCTGTCCAACAGGGTTCACCCGCAGACTTTGTCCGTGGTAAAAACTCGAGCTGAAGCATTGGAGCTAGAAATCGTGGTGGGTCCCATTGAACAAGCCGATCTACCAAGTCGCGAATTGGCTGGTATTCTTCTACAATATCCGGATACTTATGGCGATGTCAAGGACTTTGAGGATATAGCAGCTTTGGCCAAGAAGAATGGAGTAAGTTGAATTAATTTGGAACTGGTAAAAATCTTATTTTCGCGCAATTTTCCCACATAGACTCTTGTGGTGGTAGCCACCGATCTCTTATCCCTAACACTCCTTCGTCCTCCTGCGGAATTCGGTGCGGACATTGCCGTAGGAACCTCTCAGCGTTTAGGAGTTCCCCTGGGCTATGGTGGTCCTCATGCTGGATTCTTTGCCTGCAAGCAAAGTTTGGTGCGATTGATGCCCGGAAGAATGATTGGCGTGACCCGAGACATGGATGGAAATGATGCTTATCGTTTAGCTCTGCAGACAAGGGAACAGCATATTCGAAGGGATAAGGCAACTAGTAACATTTGCACGGCACAAGCTCTACTGGCCAACATGTCGGCCATGTACGCTATTTACCATGGTCCGGAGGGTCTGAAAGCCATGGCCAATCGCATTCACCACTTCACACTAACACTACAAACAGGACTCTTGGGAGCAGGTCACGAAGTGGTCAACAAGAATTTCTTTGACACACTGCACATTAAACTGAGTGGAAATCAATCTCTGGAGGATCTGAAAGAACGTGCCGAGCACAAGCGTATTAATCTCCGATATCTAGAAGATGGAACTGTTGGTGTGGCTTTGGATGAAACGGTCAGTGTGTCGGATGTAGATGACCTTCTGTGGGTTTTCAAGGCAGAGGCAACAGTGGAACACATCCTGGCTCGTCGAGATGTCCTTAAAAACTCAATTGAAAACTCCAAGTTCCTGCGTACGTCGCCCTTCCTTCAGCATCCCATTTTCCAGAGTTATCATAGGTGAGAGATTTAGATAACTGAAACCTTTGGCTTACGTAAAACACTACAATATATTCTTTAATCCTTCACAGTGAGTCCCGAATGGTGCGTTACATGAAGAAACTGGAGAACAAGGACATCTCCCTTGTCCACTCAATGATCCCTCTGGGATCGTGCACTATGAAGCTCAACTCCACCACCGAGATGATGCCCTGTTCCTTCCGCCACTTTACCGATATCCATCCCTTCGCTCCCGTAGAACAAGCCCAGGGCTTCCATCAGATGTTCAACGAGCTAGAGCGTGATCTGTGTGAGATTACAGGGTACGATAGAATCTCCTTCCAGCCGAATTCAGGTGCACAGGGAGAGTATGCCGGACTAAGAGCCATCAGGAGTTACCATGAGCACCGAAATGAAGGTCACAGAAATATCTGCCTGATTCCCATCTCCGCTCATGGAACAAATCCAGCTTCTGCTCAAATGGCAGGAATGAAGGTGGAACCTATTAAGATATTGTCAAATGGTTCCATCGACATGGCCCATTTGAGAGCTAAAGCGGAGGAACACGCCCATGAATTATCCTGCCTAATGATTACTTATCCATCGACCATGGGAGTTTTCGAAGAAACCGTCGCGGATATATGCACCCTGATCCACAAACATGGAGGACAAGTGTACCTAGATGGAGCGAACATGAATGCCCAGGTGGGTTTGTGTCGCCCAGGAGATTATGGTAGCGATGTCTCGCATCTGAATCTGCACAAGACCTTCTGCATTCCGCACGGAGGAGGTGGCCCTGGAATGGGTCCCATTGGCGTTAAAGCCCATTTGGCACCTTACCTGCCAGGACATCCAGTAGTCAGTCCCTTGAGCAGCGAGGAGCACAGTTTTGGTGTGGTTTCCGCTGCTCCCTTTGGCAGCTCTGCCATTTTGCCCATTTCTTGGTCTTACATCAAACTCATGGGCAGTCGGGGATTGAAGAGAGCCACCCAAGTGGCCATCCTGAATGCCAATTACATGTCCAAGAGGTTGGAGCAGCACTATAAAACTCTCTACAAGGCACCCAACTCTCAGTTGGTTGCCCACGAGTTTATTTTGGATATTCGCGATCTGAAAAAGACGGCCAACATTGAGGCAGTGGATGTGGCTAAGCGACTTATGGATTATGGTTTCCATGCTCCAACGATGTCCTGGCCTGTGGCTGGAACTTTGATGATTGAACCTACAGAATCCGAGGACAAAGAGGAGTTGGATAGGTTCTGTGATGCCATGATCTCCATTCGAGAGGAGATCGCTGAGATCGAGGCGGGTCGCATGGACAAGACGGTGAATCCCCTGAAGATGTCACCTCACACTCAAGCTCAAGTTATCTCAGATAAATGGGATCGTCCTTACACTAGGGAGCAGGCTGCCTTCCCAGCTGTAAGTCCTTTTTATTTCACATTAATTTCTTTGTATGATTTAATTTTCCCTTCTTACAGATATTTGTAAAACCAGATGCCAAGATCTGGCCCACTGTGGGCAGAATTGATGATGCCTATGGCGATAAGCATCTTGTCTGCACATGCCCGCCAATATTGCCTGATTTATAAGCCAATTTAGATTTAAGAAAAAACTTAATACTTGATTTATAAGACCAATTAAAGTACCTTTTTATATAAAGTTTATTTTAAATTATCAACTAGTTCTCTAGTGTTTTACTTTTTCCTTGGACAATTTCTTGGCCTATTAAATGCGTCTTACTACTTGCTTTCTAGCAGCCAAATTACTTATACTTAGTTTTCTTGGCTTTAGATTCAATTTTAGAGTCTTTTACATATTTTCTATACTGTTTGTGGAAGGTATTTACATTATTTGTGGGTATGGTCCACTCAACTAGCTTAGACTTTTTTGTAGGATCGGAAGACTCTGAGTATTCAGGTATTTCGACACCCAATAATTTACAAACTTTGGACAAAACCACATCCACGTAGGTTGAGATTATCATATTGGCCTTTTTGTCATGTTTCGTAGGCTGTAGATTACAAATGACAAATTTACCACCGCGTTTCAGATTTTTTAAGGGAAGATCACCGCTTGGAACGATTTGCAGAGTGGTTCCAAGAGCAATGTTTAAATCGGCGATGGTGGAGTGCATTAAACCCATTTCAAGGTCGTTCTCGGGAAGATCATGTTCCCAATCAAGAACGTTATCGTACAAGATTCCCGATCGGCAACTACGACCTTTAGAATCCATTGAAGATTTGCATGGGCGATCCAGCGATTTTTGACCTACTGTTTCCACTGCAGAAGATCTCACAAATTGACGTCTGCATTTCTTGCACTGTTCAATGTAAATGTTGCCGTGCAATTCGGAAAGATGTCTTCTATCTATTCCGGACTTAAGATGAAGACCATCAATGTTCTGTGAGATTACATATTGTACATAGCCACTTTCGATCAGAGATATGATGGCCATGTGGGTTTTAGTGGGTCTGGCTTCATCGAAGGAGACGTTAAAGTCCGGCTTTTCGCCCTTCTCCTCCAGGGTCCAAACTCCTTTGGGTCCACGAAAATCTGGAATCCCTGCGGATGTACTGATGCCAGCTCCTGTGTGCAGAACAACATGTCCAGATTTTTTGATTAGGTCAGCTAATTTCTGGCACTTTTCGGCCACCACTTCATCGCTATCGAAACTTTCGGGTGCTCCCAGGATCCCCTTGTTGTCGTAGGCTGACAGACCATCCGCATAATTGCAGCTCATGGTCTAATCTATTTATAATTTATTTCAATTTTTAGAGTATATATTTTAAATATTGTTTTGTTTATGTTTTTAACTGGTAAAAAGTCCATCGAGGTTCTATTGTTTATAATATGACCGTATAGTGAACGCTGTAAAATACATCACAGGCGAGACAAGCAGAATTGGACTAAAAACAAATACTTTGTACAACTGTTGAAAAGAAAAAAAAATGAGGTTTTAAAACATCCGAATTCTAATCTGTAAGCTTTGGAAATTTTAATCTTATTATTAAGTATCTTATATTAATAATACAAATTTTGTTGGTCAGTGTACCTCAACAAATGCACATGTCTGGATTTCATCCTCGAACGGTCACACTATAGGCGCGCGCCTGCCGAAACAAAGTGTGCTTCTGTTTTTCCAATCGCATCTACCGGCACATAAAAAAACAAATTTCGCCCAGGGCAACAGGACAGCTTGTTTTATCATTACAACGCTTGAGTTCACATCTTCCTCAGGCGAAAAGCAGTTGCAACCGGAAACGGGATAAAGGTACCATCACCAAGGACACGGATTCACAGGCGACATGAAGATCGAGGAAGTCAAGAGCACCGTGCGCACTCAGCGCATCGCAGCCCACAGCCACGTGAAGGGATTGGGTCTGGACGAAGTCGGAGCTGCAGTGCATAGTGCAGCCGGATTGGTGGGTCAGAAGGCAGCACGCGAAGCAGCTGGCATCGTGGTGGATCTGATCAAGTCTAAGAAAATGGCCGGAAGAGCCCTACTCTTGGCAGGTCCTCCTGGCACTGGAAAGACCGCTATTGCACTGGCCATCGCCCAAGAATTGGGTAACAAGGTGCCCTTCTGCCCCATGGTCGGATCGGAAGTCTTCAGTAACGAGATCAAGAAGACCGAAGTGCTGATGGAGAACTTCCGGCGTTCCATTGGCCTTCGCATTCGTGAGACCAAGGAAGTATACGAAGGAGAGGTCACGGAGCTCACTCCCGTAGAAACCGAAAATCCCATGGGTGGCTATGGCAAGACCATCAGTAATGTAGTCATCGGTCTAAAGACAGCCAAGGGCACCAAGCAACTCAAGTTGGATCCTAGCATCTTCGATGCCTTGCAAAAGGAGAAGGTAGAGGTGGGTGATGTGATCTACATAGAGGCCAACAGTGGTGCAGTAAAACGCCAGGGGCGCAGCGACACCTTTGCCACCGAATTTGACTTGGAAACCGAGGAGTATGTGCCGTTGCCAAAGGGCGATGTACACAAGAAAAAAGAGGTCATCCAGGATGTCACTCTACATGATCTGGATGTGGCCAATGCTCGTCCGCAGGGTGGTCAGGATGTGCTCTCCATGATGGGACAGCTCATGAAGCCTAAGAAAACTGAAATCACTGGTGAGCTTTGTGTTTTCTCCGAAAATAAGTATTTTATAAACTTTTTCAATTCCCAGACAAACTACGCATGGAAATCAACAAAGTGGTAAACAAGTATATTGACCAGGGCATAGCTGAGCTGGTTCCTGGAGTCCTTTTCATTGACGAGATCCACATGCTGGATCTGGAGACATTTACCTATCTACACAAGTCGCTGGAATCTCCCATCGCTCCAATTGTGATCTTTGCCACCAATCGCGGACGCTGTGTGATTCGGTAAGAGTTATTTGAATAGTAAATTGGGAAAGTTATGTTTTTTTTCAATTTTAACTTAAATCAGTAATTTATTGAAAAAATAACATCGGTTTTGGTTGTTATGACAACAACACGTTAGTATCGATTATACTCCTAATTATAAATGAAGTCAATTAGTATAACCTGATATCATTACTCACAAATTTTTCCTATTATAGTGGCACCACCGACATCGTTTCTCCACATGGCATTCCTCTGGATCTGCTTGATCGTTTGCTGATCATCCGCACGTTGCTCTACTCCACCGCTGACATGGAACAAATTATCAAGCTGCGCGCCCAAACCGAAGGACTACAGCTGGAGGAGAACGCATTCACACGTCTCAGTGAGATTGGAACTAGCTCCACGCTGCGCTATGCCGTACAATTACTGACCCCGGCCCACCAGATGTGCAAGGTGAACGGACGCAACCAGATCAGCAAAGATGACATCGAGGACGTGCATTCTCTTTTCCTCGACGCCAAGCGCTCCTCGAAACACTTGTCCGAAAAGAACAATAAGTTTATGTTGTAAGTTTGGCGATTCAGACAGAATTATATTCCATTTGCACGGATTTCCCAGTAAAAGAATGATAAGCAATTTTTGTGTATTTTTCAAATTGATTTTAAGAAAAGTATAATTGGTAAAGGTAATTTTTAAGTATTAATTTTGAGTTTTAGATATGGCGCTCAAGATATCGATTAGAACGATATTTGGGACAATGCATGTTTGATGTGTACACACTTATTTACATAGTAACTACTTGACATTTTTATGTAAGTTTAATTTAAATTAAAAAGGCTAAACGGACTGTCGACTATTAAAATGTTGGCCCAAACTTCCGATTCCCTTGATCACAATTTTGAATATCTATGAAATTTTGTTAGTTTCAAAAGAAATCCCAATATGGTACTCCTAATCGCTGAGATGTGGCAACTCCCGAATGTGCCACCTTACATTTTTCCACCCTGCGGAATCAGCTGTTCGCGTTGTTTGGCCAAGCATTCCAATTGGTGGTGAGTTCATTTACTCAACGAGCGTCGAGCGCACTGCACTGCCGAAAAATAACCAGAAAGCTCCGCTAAAGTGCTTGCAGTAAATACTATATTTAACGATTTCGATTCGCGGCGTGGGCGTTCTTCTTCTTAACTTCGTATACCCCTCGCGTCTCGTATATTGCGTCTCGCTCTAACAACGCCGGCAGTTGCACTTGGTGTAAGTGCGCGTGAGTGTGTTGTGTCTGTGTGTGGTTTTATGAAAGAATGTGAAATCATAATAAAATTCGCGAATTGTTGTTGCTATTTGGCGTAATTAGCCACTATTTAACGCACATGTGTGTGTGTTTCGGGCTTATTTGTGTGTGAACGAAGTCAAGGATCGTGCTTTGGCTGCAATAATAGCAATCCTGATGGCAGGATCAAGGTAAAATGGAAACATTTGGGATCCATTGCATGAATGAGCCAATGTTGAAGAAGAAGCAACAAAAGCAGCAGCAACAGCAACAACAAAACGGCAGCTAGGAGAGCGAAGGCAAAACAAACGAAAATTCAAAAAGGAAAAACAACAACAAAAGGTAAGTGCGTGTGCGTTTGGGTTTGTGTGTGTGTGTGTGCGTTTGTGGAGGCCGCACCTCCCAATCAGAAAATTAGTTATGTGTGGGTGCCTGTTACACTTTTTCGTACTTATTTTCTTTTTTGGCATTAACTGTTATTATTATTTAAGTAGCACGAACGCTGGAATTACATAATTTCGTTGTCTGTTTTTTTGTTTGTGTCTCCCTTTTGTGGCTCTAAAAAGGAAAGCGAAAGTATTCTTATTGGAATGCCAGCGGGCTGTGTGTGTGTGCGTTTGTGTATGTTTGTTTTATTTATGAATGGCGATTATGAGGCTTGATAATTAATTGCCAGCATACGTTGTGATTTAATTTTTGTGCGTTAACCAGTTGCTCAACCCGACGACCGTCTGTCTCTTTCGCACCCACATCTGGTCATAAATCAAATAAGAAATTCACGCCGCACACAAAAAAAAAAAAAACAGCAACAAACAAAAGAGACGAAGCGATGAACTCCCTCGCTCTGATCAGAACGAAAAGAAGAAGAAGCACTGGCAGCAGCATTTGCAGCTGCGCCAAGCGATCATTTCACAAACTTTTATTTTTTCTTTTCTGAGCCATTTTTAATGCGAAAATCTTGCGGGCGAAAATTGGCCGCCGCAGTTGGCCAAAAAGCATAAACAACACATTTTTATGGGACGCCGGCGGCGGCACATGTACACAGAAAGAAAATGTATACATCATGTTTAATGATCGTTTTTATATATTATTTTTAAAGCAATTTATGCATTCAAATTTTACTTGATGAAAAAATGTTTTAACTTTTTTTTGAGAACACTTTTGTGTTTATTTATTAAAATCATTGGGCAAGAATGTTTTAGACATGTTACTTAGATATATTATAGCCACATTCCGAGAACAATTTTATAAATTCTACAAATTTAACTTTATTTACACAACAAAATGATTTGGGAAATCTAAAAATATAAATGTGATTTTTTTTCTGTGCAGCAGATTCGCCCACGTTTCAGTATCTCTTGCTCTCTAAGGCTCTCTCTTTCTCGTGCGATCGTTGCCAAATTTCATTTCACGCCCGCTGTTTTTGGCCCTACACTGTGAAAGATCCGTTAACTGGTCTGATTGGAATTTATGTAATTTAGTGATACAGTGTAGGGTCAATATAGTGAACTAATTAAAGCAAATATATTCACCTGCGAGCATATAACATTATAAAATGTTGCTTAGGCATTTAAATCCAGTTTTGTTTATGGCAACAATTTTCAGATGTCAAACAAAGTCTATAAAATTAAAAAAACTTTTTGAAGTCTGACTCATATGTAGGTTTTATAGGCCTTAGATGTCATACACTTCCGGTTTCAAAATTTACAATTTTTTTTTTTTTAATTTCTTACATGTTTTAAAAGTTACAGCGAGATTATAATTAAAAGAAATAAGGCTTAGAGAGCACCTAACCGCCACCCTCTTAGCAGCCACAATGTTTTAGTTCCGCTACGTCTTATTTCAAAAATATTTTAGCCGACCAATACGCGACACACACTGGCACATAAAGTACGAGTACATCTGTCTAACGATGAGCTTTTCGGTGTTGACGTTAATGAACTACAACAACAATTATGTACATTTTGTACACGGCAGCAAACCACAACAACAACAAAAACAAAAGCAAATATATAACAACAACTACATTTCACCGCAGTTCTTTTGTTGTTTTTGCTTTGAACTGTGATTTTTTTTCGTATTTTAGACCGGCCTTTAGCCATAAGGCGAATTTATGCTTGTCCATTTGCTTGCAATTAGTTTCATGAAGTCAACTGCGCGCTAAAATATAGTTGTAGTTGATGCTGTTGTTGTAGCTTTAGTTGATGCTGTTGTTGTTGTTGTTGTTATGGCTTTTACTGTTGCTCTCCGAGTTTTTCCTTTACTACGCTAAGCTACTTAACGTCACAGCCGCCGCTCGTAGTTATTTATTGTCCGTTGCTGGCGCTGCTGCGTCGACATTTTTGCATTTGCACTGCAAAGACCATTTGTACAGTAGAAACTCTACGAATGGAACTGCTTTGCAGGAGCAAAGAAATGTGATCTTACAGAAATGGAAGAATCTTTTAGATTTTTCTCGATTTACACCTTAAAGAAGTTAACAGGCAAACGTATATATTTTAAATCTGTAGAAAACTATAAAGTTATAAAACTTGTACGATCCTTGTTAACAAATTATGTATGTATAGTTTTAAAACCACTTTAAAAAGTTGCCAAAAGGCTAAACTGATATAATGTATTTTACTTTCGGACTACTTTTCAAGTGTTTTAAACCTCTTAGTTTGAAATTCTCTAAAAATCAGCTTTGTGGAAGTTGCTCTGTATTTTCCATTTCTGCTTTATGCTTTGGTGTAATTGTTTGCCCTTCGCAAGGTTGTTCCCACTGTGCGTGGGCTGGGCGGGGAGTGGTGGCGGCTTGGGGGGAAGTTTGAGGGCGTAGGAATTGTGGCAGTGGCAGTGGAAGCGGCAGCGGTTTTTCTAAAAAACATTTTGTTGTGCTGCCAAACAAAAGCAACAGCTGCGTTCTGCTTTGGCCGCTGCTTTTGGGCCTTTGTGAATGTGCAGCAAACAGCCTTGTAAGCGCCACCCACACAAAGAGGCGAACCACACAAAAATTGTATGGTCTCACCAACACAGAAGCTATTCAGCATCTGCACTGTGCAGTTGTGTGTGTGTGTGTGTGTGTGTGTTCATGTCTGTAGAGGCAACTATGACGTGAGCAGCAGCTGTCAAAGTCGCCCACGCCTCAAGTCGCGCTTTAAAAGCGTCATGTGCTCAGCTGAGCGCGTCTACACCGCTCTCTCCCTCGCTCATTCTTGTTCCCTTTCTCTTTTACTCTTTCAGTCTTGAGCTTTGTGCACGTGTGCGTTCATCTCCGCTGTAGATTTTCAGCTTCTTTCAGCTTTTTAGCCTGAAAATTGAGGCAGCAACTGTGAATGTGAGTAAAGCATTTCTAATAACGTAGCGTTACTGCCATAATTCTAGCTTCTTTTCTTCGGGGTTTTTGAGGGTAAAAACAACCCTGATAAAATCAACCCTCAATTCAAAATTTCTTAAGCAGTGAACTTCAGCTAAATGTTTTTAGCGCCTTTGATATTACAAGTATAAGCAACCCCATTTCTAATTGTGCGAAATCAAGTGTCATAGAAATCTCTCGAAGTTTTAAAACCATTTTAAAGGATGCCCAAATGTATGCTGTGGAACATGTAAAGTTGTTTATACTTTAAGAAAATTAAAGGTTTTATAAAAATGTATAATCTAGGATCAATAATAATCTTAAAATTCGTTGATAATGATTCTCTTTAGACCGGTTTTTGTAGTATTTACTGATCAAGCTTATTAAGTTGTTAAAAGCGACCCCTCTTCTTGAAAAGGAAACTATAAAATCGGATACTTTTCTAAAAGACAAAAAGAGTCATTTATATCTTATCCAAATTTGCTGAAATGTGGCTAAAAAGGTTTACTGAGTTTCAATTAAAATTGCATAAAAGAAACATTTTACCTGCCAACCGGCAATTTCATTCAACTTGAATTTTTCACCAAATTCATTTAGAATTTTATTCGAATGTGTGTGTATCTGAGAGTGTGTGTACTTTGTGTCACAGAATCCCTACCGTATTTGCATTCGTATTCGTTTCATTGCACTTTGGGTCCACATACTACCACAACAATGAGCCATGGCATAATAAACTTTGCCATTTGTGCCTCATCTTGCTCCTCATCTTCTTTGGCCCGTTTGTCTAGATCTTCTTCTTTTTGGTTTTTCTAACCTTGAGCCAATAAAATTGCAAAAGAAAAAAAAAAACAAAACACACAGTGCCCAAGATGTGCGGTGCACATACAAAATGAAAAACTTGAAATGTTTCTAACACAATTTTCTACTTGCCTTGCCATTGTTTGCCGAAAGTGTGGGTGGCTGGGTTGGGTTGGGTTAGGTTTTTAGTTGGGAACAGTGTGTGGCAGAATCAAGGGGGAAAATTGAGTGTGTCGA